ATGTCTATATTTCATTATTTCTTTTTTAATTATTTACTTTCTTTCTGTTTTTTTGTTCACTTGCCTTATATATATATATATATATAGATATATTCCACCTTGATGGATTTTTTATTAGATTTTATATAATTTAATTGAAATAACCGTATGAGATTAAGTTTTAATTGATGTAATATTATAAAATTTGAATTTTAGTTAATATGTGAAACAAGAGAAGTATGGTTTTCTAATCTATTCACAGTAAATTACTATATATGTGTGTGAACAAAGAAAAGAAGATAAATGAAAAAAAAATGAAAAAAAAAAAGGAAAGAAACAATCAATTTACATAACATTTTTTTTTTTTCTCTCTCTCTCTTTAATATGGATCCAGAGAATAGAGGGGAGAAATAGTGAGAAACCCGAGTATATAAATAGTTAAAAAAAAAATAAAGAAATAAAAAAAAATAAAAAATAAGGTATGTAAACAAAGAAAGAATTAAAGATTATATAGGTAAACACGTACAAGTAGGATAAAAAAGAAAGAATAAATATAAAAGGGTAATTTGATCCTAAAAGTTAAAATTTCATAATTCCAATAAAATAGGAAAAGACGCATTAATTAAATTTTCTATAATTAATTTTCCAGCCAATAAGACAGCCAATAAGAGGTGCGACTGTGAATGGACAGTTGCTTGCGCGACTGTGTTCAACGCTCCTCTAAATATAATTCTTTAGGTTAAAGAACTTTTTGACAAAGTCAAAAGATATTTCTATAATTTTACATAGTATGAGAGTTCTACATTTGACCGTGTCAGTAAAATTAACCCAACATCGGTGTCATCATAAACTTGCTTCCTTCTTTTAAGTTAATAAAAAAAAAAATGAGAGGTGAGTGATACCTACAATGTTGAACTTTTGCAAATCACTTTAAAATTCACCGCCTGACATATATAATCTATTGTCACACATGCACTGCACAAATTCTTCACTAAAAAAAAAAAAAAAAAAAAAAAAATTCAAGTTTATTTGAAGATATATTTCATAGATGTCTTCAAGATCACAAATGTTTGTATACATAAATATAAGGTCATATAAAACAAATGAACGAGTTCTTGATTGATATTGTAATACCAAACTGGTCCTGAGAAGAGGCACAAATTCTAATTTTCCTTAGAAAATGGACTACCCCAAGTTCATTGAAGAGCAATTCTAAAATATATATATATATATATATATATATATTCAAGATAAGAATTTTAAATTAGAAGTTAGAGGTACAACGTTCCAAACCAAACTCCTGAAACAACAAGAAACAATCCAACAGCTGTGTTATAAAGAAATTTACAAGAGCAATTTTAAATTTGACTTCTCCACTTTACCTATTGCCAATAAAATAATTATATTCTAGATCAAGTTATATATATATATATAAATTAATTGTATTCTACGTGTTAAATATATACTTACCGAGTATATTTTAGATAAAGTGATATATTATGTAAAGTCCTGATCTATTGCTTTTGAGTGAGAGATTTTATCTACATCTTTTATAGTGACTCTATCCAATGGTGACATTCTAAACTTTATCTCCTTTTCAAATACAACAAAACGCCCTCCACCTTTTACAATTTCCTTTCCAAACACAATAAAACCGCCTCTACCTTTTACAAACCACATTCACCCTAAAATTATATTTTAGGAAAGAAAGTTGATTCTTGCGCCGAATAGTTACAATAAATTGCTAAACTAAGTATAAATAGAAAATTAAAAACTATTCAATTCAAACTTCTGCAACAAACAAGTCTAACAATTCTTAATCCATAAAAGGTGGATAAAATCTCTTGCTCATAAGAATTCTTAATCCATAAGTGTCCTGAACATAAATACGGCAATAAGAAGGGGCAATACAAAAGTGTGTAAACTATAAAAACGAGTCAAGGTGGATTGTCCCACCCTAGCACTTCCCCACAATAATTTTACCAAAGGCGTTCCTATTACAGGAATCGCTTCAGGCACACCCGTTACAATTTTTACTGCCCAATAACCAATTTGGTCCCAAGGTAAGGAATAACCCGTTACGCCAAAAGATGCAGTCAATACGACCAGAACCACACCCGTAACCCAAGTCAATTCGCGAGGTTTTTTTAAGAACATACGTATATAAAATAATTGTATTCTAGATAACACTGATCATATATGTATACATATATGTATGTATAAAATACATATACATATATGTATAAAATAATTATATTCTAGATCAAGTGTTATATATATATATATATGTATAAAATAATTATATTCTAGATCAAGTGTTATATATAGAGAGAGAATTTTATTCTAGATCAAGTGTTATATGCCTATATCCATAAAATAATTTTATTCCAGATCAAGTGTTATGTATATGTATAAATTAATTGTATTCTAGATAAAGTATTATTTATATGTATAGAATAATTTTATTTTATGTCAACTGTATACATACATATATATATATATATATATATATTGATTGTACGGATTATAAAATAACTGTATTCAAAATATCTATTATGCTTACGGAGCATATTAAACATATTAAACACCAATTGTGCAAATAAGTTATGTTGTTTGATAACTCAATTCAACGCTTAATTCTAAACGGGTTAAGGCTTGTTCAATTAAGTGTGTTTGATAACCCAATTTGAATATCGCTGAAAATGTTAAACATCGCTTAAAATGGGGTAAAATTTTAAGTAACATGAATATCACTTATCACTAAAAGCTGAATACTGATTTTTTTAAAAAAATATTTATTTTTTTAATTATCACTTAAAACTTAAGTACTTAAAATTTAGTACTTAAAAATTTTAGTACTTAATTTTTAATTTTATCAAACATCACCTAATATGTTCAATAATTCAATTACTCTTACTTAGACATTTCACACATTAGTTAGAAAAAAAATGATTTTATGAAATGACCAAAAAGGGCACAACTTATATAGTGAAGTCAACTTCTGTTCTTATTATTTATTCCATGACTATTATTTATGTTGTTTGATTATTTAATTCAGCACTTAATTCTGAATGTATTAAGCGCTTATCTAATCAAGTATGTTTGATATGCAATTTGAATATCGCTGGTAAATGACAGTTAAAATATGCTAAAATTTCAAGTATGTTTGATATGCAATTTGAATATCGCTGGTAAATGACAGTTAAAATATGCTAAAATTTTAAGTGACCGAAACATCATTTATCATTGAATAATGAATATATATTTATTTAAAATGTCAAATGTTGCAGTGAGATCCACCTTAATTAATTATTCAAGAGATCAGAACGTTACATATATAGCACTTGATCTAAAATATAATTGTTATATATATATATATATATATATATATATATATATATATACTTAACACTTGATCTAGAATACAATTAATTTATATATATATATATATATAACACTTGATCTAGAATACAATTATTTTATTGGCAATGCCTAAAGTGGAGAAGTAAAATTTAGAATTGCTCTTGCAAAAACATTTGTAATTCAACGGTTGGGTTGTCTTCCCGTTGTACCTGAGAGTTTGGAACTTTTAATCTAGCATTCTTATCCTGAAAAAATATATATATATATATTTTAGAATTGCTCTACAATGAACTTGGGATAGTCCGTTTTCTAAGGAAAATTAGAATGTGTGCCTCTTCTCAGGACCAGTTTGGTATCACAATATCAATCAAGAACTCAATTCATTTGTTACTTTCCAAAAAAACTCATTCATTTGTTTTATATGACCTTATGTATACAAACACTTGTGAGCTTGAGGACATCTATGAAATAGATCTTCAATAAACTTGAACCTTTTTTTGTTGCAGTGCATGCGTGACAAGATATTATATATGTCAGTAGGTATCACTCACCTCTCATCTTTCTCTAGTAACCTAAAAGAAGGACGCAAGCCTATGAGACATCGATCTTATTTTTTTTACCTCAGTTTTGTTATTAGGTATGATTAAAATTATCACATTTTGACTTTGAGGCACAAAATGTTAAAAAATAGTTGTACGCCGTCATCTTGTTGCCTCTGCAATAACAACAGCTAATTATTTACGTAAAACAACCATCCATAACATTTTGACTTTTGAGGCACAAAATGTTAATTTTGGATTGTCATCTCAAAGAATTGTTATTTAATTTTTGTTTTCTTGGTGTGTTTGATGGGTGTTTTACATAGTATTTTTATAAAAATAAGAGAGATAATAACATATTTAAAAAATGAAGAGTTAAAGTGATATACTGAGTATACTCATAGGTGTTTTTAACACTTAACCTTGTATATATATATATAATAATTATATTTTAGATCAAGCGTTATACATAAGTGTATGTATAAAATAAGAGACTTAATATTGACACTCCATAATTATCCTCTGACATTCAAACCCTCTTTCTTTAAAAATTAAATTACAAAAGAGTCCTTACATCACTCAATGTCTAGTACTTCTTATATTTTCAATATTATAATTGCCCTCCTTAATTTTATGATATTTTATCTCTTTGTGGGACTCTTTTAGAATTCCAACTCATTTTTACCTTTCGTTGACCAAAAAGTTTAGTTTCAGTTTTCATTTTCATATTTTAGCATCCCGCTTTAGTTTTTATTTTAATATTTAATTTTAGCATCCGCATGCGAGCGCGATAAAGAATGACAAAATAGTTTCCAAATTACTTTCTCAATAAAGACTCCAATGTATATATAATTCCTAAAAGGCATTTATTGTAATGTCAAAAAGAATATTGAGTCATCAATCAAATAATTTATTATATAATATGATCGATTTTGTGTGCCTATGTATTCATAAATATGTAATTGTAAATTATCAAGGTTTTTTTTTTTATTTTTTTATATGTAATTTATTTTTTTGTTTAACTCTAATATTTTCTTCTATAATTGCTTTACAAGTCAAGTTCGTTAGTGGTTTTTTTTTTTCTAGCACTCTGTACTTATTCGTGATTGGTCATTTGCCTTTATATATATATATATATATATATATATATATATATATTGGTATTGGTTCTATTGTGTTGCTTCAATTTTGTTATGGTAGTTTATTCGTGTAGGACTTGGGGAGGCTTTTTTTTTTTTTCCTTCTAGTGTTGGTGCTATTGTCGGCTTCCATTTTTATGAGGAGAGATTCGCAGAGGAAGGTGGGCGGAACGTGAAAAAGAAATTAAAGGGAATTTGCATTTGGCAAGTAAGAACCCTAAGGGCAATTTTGGTATCAAAATTATAATAACCAAACATTGTGTAATATACCAACTCTTCTGAAATTTCACTTGGAAAGAGAAAGAATGGAGTGCTTGACAACCGAAGTCCTTAACAACGGCCATAAAAACAAGCTCTCTAGAATTAGTAATCATAGTTTTTATAGAACTGATAGGCACTCTGTTACTAGAAAAGTGATTACAAATCTACTACGTTTTCGGATCATTTTTCAACATTAAATTTGAGCAAAAATCCAATTATTGTTCAGTCTTTCTGTTACTAGCAATTGCTCATCATAGCTTGAATAGAGGAAGAACTGAGGAACGAGTACCATTCAGTTCAGACCTCGCGGCGGCTAAATCTGTGATAAGAACTTCCTTGTATATAGGTGGATTGATCTCAGATAGAAGTTCCTTTATAGGTCCACACGGCTTAGATACATTCCTAGTGCTGGGAGAGAAGAAACATGCAGTTGATACCCTTGGTCCAACTGATCGAGCCAGTACTCTGTGCTCCACACTTTTGAACTTATCGTTGGTGATAAGCTGTACATGTAGGAAATCAAAAAGAAGAAAAAGATCAAACCCAAAAAAAAAAAAAAATTGTGATATGTATGATAATGCATTACCCATTATATCTCGTTACATAGTTCACACTAAGATTAGAGAAAAAGAAAGACCAAAGTTGACGTGGGTAGAGTAAGTAATGAATGATATGATAACATGTGATTTTTGACTAACGCCTTGGCTTAGATAGAGCAGAATGACAAAAAATAAGATTCATGTAAACTAACCCAAATAGTTAGAAAAAATAAATAAAGCTTTGATTACCATAAGACCCGTCTATATATGTTTTAAGGACATTATAAAACGACTAATGAACAAGTAATTCATTGGTTTTAACTATACCTGCATAAAATCCCCAAGGTTTGCTATAAGAGCTTTTGGGACAGGATGCACATCAACCCAATGATCTTGATGAAGACTTTGAAGGCCACCAATGCCATCTTGGAGGAGAAGAGTTAGAAAAGGCAGGTCTGTATGTTGGCTCAAGCCTTGAGTCAGGTCAGGCTTATAAATATTTTTATATAAAGGTGGAGCAAAGTCCTTCACCAATCATAGTGCCTTCTTTGACTATTATACACAGTAGAAATATATAAAAAAGAAGAGAAATGAGATAATTGCTTAAAGGCTTGAATGATATGAATTACTCATTCACATCTCTAATATTTATAGATAAAATGAGCACATGTTCGTATTACAAGAAATGAAACTAAATCAAATCAAAATCAAATTACAACTTACTCTAAAGCATATTTTATTGCATATTCTATAGCATAGTCAACTCTCTGCTTTTATGGTAAGTCATACCATAAATAGTGGTATCATATATGCTAACATGTGCATAGTCAAATCTCTGCTATTATGGTAAGTCATACCATAAATCGTGGTATCATATATGCTAACATTCCCCTTAAGTTGGTACGCGCGTGGATATCTGAAACGCCCAATTTGGACAATGCATTCTCAAACACAATTTTTGTTGATGCCCTTTGTAAAAAAGTCTGCAACCTGTTGAGAGCTTGTGACAAACGAAGTGCAAATTTGACCAGAGATGATCTTCTATCGAATGAAGTAACGGTCCACCTCTATATGCTTGGTCCTGTCATGCTGAACGGGATTTGCTGCTATACTAATGGCAGACTTGTTGTCGCAGTAGAGTGAGAATGGAATCGACACTCGAAGGCACAAGTCTGTCATCAAGGTTTTCCGCCAAAGCAACTCACCTACCCTAAGAGCCATAGCCCTATACTCTGCCTCTGTACTAGATCGAGAGACAACATCCTACTTCTTACTGCGCCAAGTAACCAAGTTACCACCAATAGTGGTACAATAACCTGAAATAGACCTCCTATCTGAAATTGATCCTGCATAATCAGCATCTGTCCGAGCCTCAACTCGTAAGTGACCATGATTGACAAATAAAATACCACGGCCTAGACACCCTTTTAACTAGCGAAGGATCCAAATAGTTGCATCAAGGTGAAGGGCACGAGGAGAGTGTATGAATTAACTCACGACACTCACGGCATAAGTAATGTCAGGTCGAGTCATGGATAAATAGATGAACTTCCCCACAAGTCGTTGATACTGACCAATATTTGACAACAACTCCCCCTCAGAATCAGCTAACCGATGATTCTGCTCAATCGGAATATCAACAGGTGTAACAGAAAACATCTACAGTTAATTTGTTCTTCATCTCATTCATTAGACAGACCAGTGTTGTTAAAGGTGCACCTAGGCACCTAGGCTCGAGACGCAGGTCTAGCGCCTGTTGTCATCCTAGGCTCACTAATGTCTACTAGGCGCGCACCTCGGTTGCGCCTCGTCCTATTTGTTAGGCACGCCTCGCTGTTTTTTGTTTTTTTTTTAAATAATTATTCTATCTCTTAAACCCAAAAGGGTACTTTTAGCAACATAATAAACAAATAAGAAAGCCTAAGCATATGAGAGAATAAACTTGTGTTCAAAAGAATAAACAAATAAGAAAGTCCAAGACCGAACATAGAAAGAGTGAGACTATGAGACCAACGACGAAGCCATGACAGGTCTTTCTTCTTCTTCTTCTTCTTCTCTACTCCACCCTTCTCATCTTTGTTTACTTCTCTCTCTCCGTCTAGTTCTCTTCTCTCTCTGCCTTTTTTTTTGTTTTTTTTTGGGCTTTATTTTTTCTCCTTTTTATTCTTTAACACTTTCTCTTTCTTCTCATCTACTTCTTTTGTCTCTGCCTCTTTTTTTTATGGCTCTATTTTTCTTTTTCTTTTCTTGTTAACAGTTTTTTTAATAGATTTGTTTCTTTATGTGCTCTGTTTTTCCATTCAAGAAAACAAATATGTGCTCTGTTTTATGGTTCTTTAATGCTTACATAGTTGATGGATTTACTTTTTTGTATTTGATATTAATTTTTAGAATATTGGTATGACTTGTGAGATATGAATGTTATTGTGGTAATTTAAAATTTCAATTGTGCACCTCACTTCACTCAAGTGTGCGCCTCGCGCCTAGTCTCCAAAGGTGAGCCTTGAGCCTTTAATGACTACTGGAACAGACCAAGTTGTATAACCATATTACATTCTGCGGTTATTTCACCACTTCAAAGAAGCATTTTGGTTTCCTATTTGCTTGAATTGCATTATGTTTAAAAATTGGTTGAGAGGGGGCTGTTATGGCAGGTATTTGTCTATCCTGTCTTGTAGAAAACATCATCCAAGCATTACCTGGTTGTACAAAAAAATTCCCTCATCCAAAATATTGAGTAATGATCTTGTACTGGAAAGTTTTTACCATAAATCAAGTTCAGTTATACTAAGCATGTAGTTATAATGTTGTATAGACACATATATTCCAAGTAAATGTCAATTGTATATATCTACTGCGTTCTTTCTTGAAGCTCAGCTGGTGAGACTTAAACTTGTTACTTTCTTCCAGCTTGTGAACCATGTTTACTTCTCTCCTGATGGACAATGGGTGGCAAGTGCTTCATTTGACAAGTCAGTCAAGTTGTGGAATGGTAACACAGGAAAATTTCTTGTCGCTTTCCGGGGCCATGTAGGCCCTGTCTATCAGATAAGGTTTCAATTTTTTCTACTATGTTTGTGTTATTGTTCATGTTTGTTCTATTTCTATAGCTAATCATTGTATTTCATGTTGTGTGCAGCTGGTCTGCTGACAGTAGATTGCTTTTAAGTGGGAGCAAAGACTCGACACTGAAGGTATTTTCTAGAGCTTGCATTTGTTGTGGTTCTTTGTGCCCCATAACTCTCATTGCTGATGAATCATTCTTTGTTTTACGCCATAGCATTTGAGGGCACAAGTTCATCCTTTGAGGCATTGTAGAAATAATAAAAAAAGGGTCATTACGTAGTGGTCCCTGTTAATAAGTGGCTGGGAGGGGCAGATTAGACATAGACCTGAACTCTGGTATTAATTATTTGGACAAAGTGGCTGCTCTCAGAATTGGAACCACATTCTCACATTTTACAGCCCGTTTTGCCACAGCACCAGGCAATGGCCGTTTATGGAAGCAATAGATATAGCTATTTATTTGAGTAATCACAAAAAATGATGATAAAAGAAATGTAAGTAATATACTTATGACAGCCCTAATGACCCCACAGATGTCATGTTAACACAGCTATCTTAAGTGCCACATAGAACAACAAAGTGGACCTCATTTTGAGCATTGAGAACATGGAATTGAAATTTCTTTGGGCATTTATAGGACCTGTAACTTAATTTTGGTAAAAAAGTTGCATTCATCACTAACTTGCATGGTTGAGTTGGCTGTGGCTACGGCCTAGGAACCAGACATGTATGTGTTCAGCTCTTCTCAAGCTTACACGGCTCACATAAATTGTAGAGATTGTATGCAGTTGTAGGGGTCAGATTTGACTTGAAATGGGCTGCGGACACCGTTGTATTATCGAAAAGTGTGCAGTTTAAATTTGTATTGTTCTAGGGCACACCCATTTATGAAGTTTAAATTTGTATTGTTCTGCTTTCCAGGTTTGGGATATCCGGACGCAGAAGTTGAAACAAGATCTTCCAGGTCATGCAGATGAGGTACTTTCCCCTCCAAAAAAGCCACTTCACACATATTTTTTCAGAATATTTTGATTAATTTATCCGTGTTCTTTCCAACTGGGTTTTTCTAGGTTTTTGCTAGCTGTTGATTGGAGTCCAGATGGTGAGAAGGTAGCATCCGGTGGTAAAGATAGAGTTTTAAAGCTATGGATGGGATAGAATATACAAGGGAGACAAAAGGTACATGCAAGGGCATGATCCAAAAGGTGTTTCATTCAGTGGAGTTCTGCAGCCTCCATCACAATACCGTTGTACAAGTATGGCATAAGAATAAAAGGAACATTATAGATCGGCTTCGCGGGTTGTAAAACGCTGGCTAGTTATTGCTTTTCTGCGTATTGAGAAGATATTGACTCTTTTTTTGTTTATTTGTCAAGCTACAGTGACTGTGTTTATAGTGATTCTAACATCTAAAGCCCAGTTTTATATTCCATCAGAATCGTAGATCAACAAACATATGGCATGGCTTGCATGTTAATTTATTTTGTTTTAAAAAATAATATATTAGTTCTAATATCTAATTAAGGCCAGTTTATTTTGCTTGATTTATGGAAAGTGTAGAAAGATGAATGGAGATTCCACTGTAACCTTAACTACCAATAGAATGATTAATAATAATACAGAGAACTCATGGACATTTTGTTATTAGAAAAATTATTACATATCTATTGCAGTTTTTGACTCTCCAATCATTTTTAAACAGGGAAATGATAAACTTTGCGACCAGTTTTTGTTGCCACGGATGTGTGACATTTATTACAACACTGAAAGAGATGAGAGAGTTTATTTTATTTATTGCCGACAAAGAGTCCTTGTCGGACTCTATCCATTGGGCATTGTAGCAGTACTTTTTGCAACATTAGAACTTAGCAAAAATCCAACTATTGTTCAGTCTTTCTGTTACTAGCAATTGCTCATCAAAGCTTGAATAGAGGAAGAACTGAGGAATGAGTACCATTCAGTCCAAACCTCTTGCCCTTCACGGCAATTAAATCTGTGAACCGAACTTCCTTGTATATAGGTGGATTGATGTCCGATAGAAGTTCCTTTATAGGTCCATACTGCTTAGATATATTCCTAGTGCTGGGATGGAAGAAACAAGCAGCAGACACCCTTGGTCCGACTGATCGCGCCAGTACTCTGTGCTCCAAACTTTTGAACTTATCGTTGGTGATAAGCTGCACATTTTGAGAAGACCAAAGTTACCGCGAGTAGGGTTAGAAATAGAGAGAGAGGCTTTGTTGTTGTTTAAGGATATTAACATCTACTAATGAACAAGTAATTCATTGTTTTGAACTATACCTGCATAAAATCTCCGATGTTTGCTATAAGAGCTCCTGGGACAGGGTGCACATCAACCCATTGATCTTGAAGGCGAATTTGAAGGCCCCTAATGCTATCTTTAAGGAGAATAGTTAGAAAAGGCAGGTCTGTATGTTGGCTCAAGCCTAGAGTCAGTTCAGGCTGTGGGCAAATTGGGTAATAGTGGCACAAAAATGCTGCACTCTTCATGCACTCTGTGCTTCCCAAATAGTCGCTGCTCAGTCCTAGAGCTTCCGATAGTAGTTCACTTAGTTGCTCCTTCAGTATGATTATGCATTTCACGTACTCTTCCACTTCTCTCCTGCACAAACAAAATTAAGTATTTGTGGACTTCACCTACAACACTAATATTACCTTAATGAAAGATTAATAATGAAATAAAAGAACCATTTTAACTAAACAAAATCCTGCAAGATCTGATAAAACAACTAAAAATACTAAAAAATATGATATCATTGTTGTTATTACCCTCCACATGAATTGGGTAAAACTCATACCATATCCGGGGTCATTGCCCCTAAGGAATCAATCGCACTCGAGATAATTCAAACTTGAGACTTAATACTTCATGATGCACTAAGTTAATCGCACTCGAGAGGATTCGAAACATCGAATCTGAAACTTAATGCTTCAAGAGGCACTAAGTCCTATTGCCTCTAAGAAATTGATCGTACTCAAGAGGATTTGAACCTGAAACTTAATATTTCATGAGGCACTAAGTCTCATAGCTTTACTACTAGAGGTTCTTTTCCTCCAATGTTGCAAAGACTTGTAAACCTGAGTATATAATTGAAAATAATTTTTTTCCCGTGTTAACACCATCTAACAAAAATATTATAGAAAGGAGGTTCATATATTTTTATTAAACATGAGGGGACTAGGTGCAATTCCTCTTTTTTTATTTTTATTTTTTTTATTTATTTTTTAATTGATGTCCAACATGGGCTTATATTTGTATGAATTTTGAAAATACAAGTTATATATATTATATATATTTTTTCCAAACTCACTATCTTTTAGGCTAATATATATTCTTTTCAAAATACTTGTTTATTAGCCTAAAAGATAGTGTATATAGTCTTTTCAAAATACTTGTTTATTAGCCTAAAAGATAGTGAGTTTGGAAAATATATATATATATATATATATATATATATATATATATATATATATTGGAAGGGCCCAAGTGAAATTTCTACGAATTTTGAGACATTGAATTTATTTATAGAACAACTATTTTTTATCAGGGTAAAACAAAAAAATTTATATAGTTAGGGGGGCACGAACACGACAGGATAAAGATACTAACATAGCAACATATATATATATATATATATATATATATATATATATATATATATATAATGTTTTTATGTAGACTTGCATAAAATTTTAAAAGTACATATAAATCTAAAACAATAATTGTTGATCACAATCTGTGTGTGTATTAATTACTAACATTTCCTCATAACAAAAATATAACCAGCATTTCCTTATATCTCCTCATCATAACCCAATTCTCCCTCTCTTTCTTATTACCGTTTATTTATTTTTTTTTTTTGAAGAAGAATAATGTTGAAGTATTTAGAACACCTTGTTATGCTTATCCTAACAATTATACAATGATTTTAATAAAAAAAGTTACATTTTGTGGCCAAATACATGTGTTTTTATTAAATAGACATGTCAATGGATCGGATTTTGGTCCGACAACTCATATATGAATTGAAGATTTAATCTGATAACCCATAACGATCCGAATCCGATAATCTGTTAGTTAAACAAATCGGATATGAACTATGGTCGATCCGATGCGATAATAATCCGATTCAAAATAATATATTATACAATATATTAAATATATAATCTAATTTTATAATATAATATTTATGTATTATCAAAATATTCTTATCATTATTTTCTCCTCTCTTTTTTAACTCTCTTTATGTTTTCTTATTCAGAAATTTTTATATAATTATATTTTTCATATTTTATTTATTATTTTTATTCTCTTTTGACACACACATATATATACACACACACATATATATATATATATATATTACAAAAATTTTAAAAATTGTACACACACCCCCTTATCTGATCGGTTCAGATAGGATTATCGGATCGGATATCCGTTTTTTAACAAAATCGGATATGAATTTATTAACAAAATATTTATCGAATTATCGGATGCAATAGGATCGAATCGAGCATAGAGATCGGACCAGCACTGATCATGTTCGAATCTGATCCATTTACAAGTCTTTAAAGTTTAAACACGTGTTTCAAAATTGTGAATACATTAAAGAAGTATTAGAAACGTATATGCAAATATATATGAGATTACATCCCAAACAAAAAATGTTTCCTTGTAAAGTATTTGTGCTTTGATACTCGAAATATGTATTTTTAAAAATAATAATAATAAATAATTGAAAAAAAAAAAAAAACACTTTGCAAGTATGATGATACCTGGCGACTGAAGGTAACACATCCCGGTTCACCATATCATCTTTGAAAACAAAAGATAATGAATCCGCCCAATTTGCAGCAGCTTTACTTGAATGGAGAAATTCGTTGCTGTAATATCTCACACTTTGTGTTCGATCACGGCTATAAAACTCCATCTTTGTCTCTGCAGGTTGCTCATGGAATCGTCGAATACCTTCTATCATCCCATCCATTACACTATCTGGTACTCCATGGTTGACAAGTTGAAAGAACCCCCATGTTTCTGATGCTTCGCGGATTTCATTGACAATCTCATGCCGACGTTGGCCACCATTTTCAAAGCCTTTGAGGTCTACAATGGGGATTTGGCGTGTAGTGTTTGATGATTTTTGAAGCTTCTCTGGAGGGTTGATGAAGATCCTGGGGATGCTGGTAATTCCAGCATCCGCAAGTCCTTTAACTCCAGCTTTTGTTCTGTCGAATTCATTCACTGCTTTTGCCCTATTGTAATCTCCATCAATAGAGTTTTTAGTGGTTGAGACTTCCATGGATGAAGTCGTGTATGAACAAAGATGACAAGAACTAGCTAAAGATGTTGATGATGAGTCGCAAGAAGTGCGTGTATCGTTATATAGCGAGTGTTATGACAATAATGAATATATATTTATTTAAAATGTCAAATGTTGCAGTGAGATCCACCTTAATTAATTATTCATGTCACAATTTTAGCAAGTTTTATTCCAATTTTGATCAGCTGATTGTAGTCTCAAAGAAATTTTTCTTTCTAATATTTTAACATAGGCAACAAGAGGATGACTTACAACTATTTTTTGAACATTTTGTATTTCAAAAGTCAAAAATTAGTATTAATTTTACTAAAATTCCTCAGGTTTGATCAAATATTATTTTGAAATAATTTTTAAAAATTATTATTATTTAGATTCAATTTTACATCTCCGTCAACATGTAAAAAGATAATTTTATCTTTATTTTTTTAATTCATTTTTAATTCAAAATGTCAACAAACATAAAAAGACAAATTGCCCCATTACTTTCTCATTCTAAATGCTTCTATATTTATTCCCCCATTTTCATGGGAGGATAAAGTTGTTCCATTAAAATTTGCCATCCCATTAAAAAAAAGAGGTATTTATGTAATTTCAAAACACTCTTTTTTAGCTCATTTCATTGAATTAGGTGTAGGTTTCCTAATCTTCGTCTAAGACGCAGGCCTCGAAGACTTTGGCACTGCTACCAGCCAGCCTGAATACAAAGAGGCATTCCTCAAGTCTGTCACCGCAGTCAGCTCACGCGCCACCTCCGACGAGTACATTTGCGTCAACTCCATGGCCGGCTGCCAAGGAATCGTCCGATGTTCTGGTAAGAATTGAGCCCGGAGCTAATCCACCGGGTCTCTGCGCCGCCGAGAGGCAGATGGCCGGAGGTGACCGGAGACGAGGAGGTCGCTGGTGATTGTGTGGGTGGGGATGGTGGCGGCGGTGGAGGAGCAGCAGGCGGTGGTGGGGTGAGGCGGTGGTGGCGGTTATGGGATGGGGATGGTGTTACCGCCGCCGTGGTGGTGCTGCAGGCGATGAGGGTTTGGATGTTCACAACTGTTGGGTCCGATTTGCGATTGAGCGTTGGTCAGTATTAAAATTAATTAAAGTATGGAATTTGATTAATTAATATATGGTTTTCAAAATGAAAATTCTCATACATATGATGCATGTGTCTGATTGCCCATTCTAACTTCGCGAGATTTTGTTCCTTTAAATACTCCTATGGAAGATAAATTAGGCGTCTTTTTTTTCTATTTTTTTTTTTTTTTTTACTTTTGTACAAACTTTAATATAATATAATTGAAAATTTATAAAGTATTTGGGGATAATTTATTGGCAAAGGACTTTCTGGACTTTGAAGCCCATTTTAAGGCTACAGAAGCTCAGCCAAACATGCTCTATTCTTTTAAATATAAGAGGAGTGCTAAACACAGTTGTGCAAGTCACTGTCCATTCACAGTGGCCTTCTAATTGGTTAAAAATAATGTGTCTTTCCTAATTTTTTAAAACTTCAACTTTAAGACCAAATTACCCTTTTAAATTATTTCTTCTTTCTTTATACCTAATAACCTTCTTTCTTTCCTTTGTTACATATATTAACTTTATTTTTAACAATTGTCTTCTTTTTTTTCTTTCTTTCCTGATTGGATATATATGGCTATATTTCATTATTTCTTTTTTAATTATTTACTTTCTTTCTGTTTTTTTGTTCACTTGCCTTATATATATATATATATATATATATATAGATATATTCCACCTTGATGGATTTTTTATTAGATTTTATATAATTTAATTGAAATAACCGTATGAGATTAAGTTTTAATTGATGTAATATTATAAAATTTGAATTTTAGTTAATATGTGAAACAAGAGAAGTATGGTTTTCTAATCTATTCACAGTAAATTACTATATATGTGTGTGAACAAAGAAAAGAAGATAAATGAAAAAAAAAAAGAAAAAAAAAAAGGAAAGAAACAATCAATTTACATAACATTTTTTTTTTTCTCTCTCTCTCTTTAATATGGATCTAGAGAATAGAGGGGAGAAATAGTGAGAAACCCGAGTATATAAATAGTTAAAAAAAAAAAAAGAAAAAAAGAAAAAAAGAAAAAGAAAAGAAAAAAGAATAAGGTATGTAAGCAAAGAAAGAATTAAAGATTATATAGGTAAACACGTACAAGTAGGATAAAAAAGAAAGAATAAATATAAAAGGGTAATTTGGTCCTAAAAGTTAAAATTTCGTAGTTCCAATAAAATAGGAAAAGACGCATTAATTAAATTTTTTATAATTAATTTTCCAACAATAAGAGGTGCGACTGTGAATGGACAGTTGCTTGCGCGACTGTGTTCAACGCTCCTCTAAATATAATTCTTTAGGTTAAAAGAACTTTTTGACAAAGTCAAAAGATATTTCTATCATTTTACATAGTATGAGAGTTCTACATTTGACCATGTCAGTGAAATTAACCCAACATCGGTGTCATCATAAACTTGCCTCCTTCTTTTAAGTTAATAAAAAAAAAAATGAGAGGTGAGTGATACCTACAATGTTGAACTTTTGCAAATCACTTTAAAATTCACCGCCTGACATATATAATCTATTGTCACACATGCACTGCACAAATTCTTCACTAAAAAAAAAAAAAAAAAAAAAAAAAAATTCAAGTTTATTTGAAGATATATTTCATAGATGTCTTCAAGATCACAAGTGTTTGTATACATAAATATAAGGTCATATAAAACAAATGAACGAGTTCTTGATTGATATTGTAATACCAAACTGGTCCTGAGAAGAGGCACAAATTCTAATTTTCCTTAGAAAATGGACTACCCCAAGTTCATTGAAGAGCAATTCTAAAATATATATATATATATATATATATATATATATATTCAAGATAAGAATTTTAAATTAGAAGTTAAGGTACAACGTTCCAAACCAAACTCCTGAAACAACAAGAAACAATCCAACAGCTGTGTTATAAAGAAATTTACAAGAGCAATTTTAAATTTGACTTCTCCACTTTACCTATTGCCAATAAAATAATTATATTCTAGATCAAGTTATATATATATATATATATATAAATTAATTGTATTCTACGTGTTAAATATATACTTACCGAGTATATTTTAGATAAAGTGATATATTATGTAAAGTCCTGATCTATTGCTTTTGAGTGAGAGATTTTATCTAAGTCTTTTATAGTGACTCTATCCAATGGTGACATTCTAAACTTTATCTCCTTTTCAAATACAACAAAACGCCCTCCACCTTTTACAATTTCCTTTCCAAATACAATAAAACCTCCTCTACCTTTTACAAACCACATTCACCCTAAAATTATATTTTAGGAAAGAAAATTGATTCTTGCGCCGAATAGTTACAATAAATTGCTAAACTAAGTATAAATAGAAAATTAAAAATTATTCAATTCAAACTTCTGCAACAAACAAGTCTAACAATTCTTAATCCATAAAAGGTGGATAAAATCTCTTGCTCATAAGTGAGCAAGAGATCGTCCTGAACATAAATACGGCAATAAGAAGGGGCAATACAAAAGTGTGTAAACTATAAAAACGAGTCAAGGTGGATTGTCCCACCCTAGCACTTCCCCACAATAATTTTACCAAAGGCGTTCCTATTACGGGAATCGCTTCAGGCACACCCGTTACAATTTTTACTGCCCAATAACCAATTTGGTCCCAAGGTAAGGAATAACCCGTTACGCCAAAAGATGCAGTCAATACGACCAGAACCACACCCGTAACCCAAGTCAATTCGCGAGGTTTTTTTTAAGAACATACGTATATAAAATAATTGTATTCTAGATAACACTGATCATATATGTATACATATATGTATGTATAAAATACATATACATATATGTATAAAATAATTATATTCTAGATCAAGTGTTATATATAGAGAGAGAATTTTATTCTAGATCAAGTGTTATATGCCTATATCCATAAAATAATTTTATTCTAGATCAAGTGTTATGTATATGTATAAATTAATTGTATTCTAGATAAAGTATTATTTATATGTATAGAATAATTTTATTTTATGTCAACTGTATACATACATATATATATATATATATATATATATATATTGATTGTACGGATTATAAAATAACTGTATTCAAAATATCTATTATGCTTACGGAGCATATTAAACATATTAAACACCAATTGTGCAAATAAGTTATGTTGTTTGATAACGCTTAATTCTAAACGGGTTAAGGCTTGTTCAATTAAGTGTGTTCGATAACCCAATTTGAATATCGCTGAAAATGTTAAAATGGGGTAAAATTTTAAGTAACATGAATATCACTTATCACTAAAAGCTGAATACTGATTTTTTTAAAAAAATATTTATGTTTTTAATTATCACTTAAAACTTAAGTACTTAAAATTTAGTACTTAAAAATTTCAGTACTTAATTTTTAATTTTATCAAACAGCACCTAATATGTTCAATAATTCAATTACTCTTACTTAGACATTTCACACATTAGTTAGAAAAAAAATGATTTTATGAAATGACCAAAAAGGGCACAACTTATATAGTGAAGTCAACTTCTGTTCTTATTATTTATTCCATGACTATTATTTATGTTGTTTGATTATTTAATTCAGCACTTAATTCTGAATGTATTAAGCGCTTATCTAATCAAGTATGTTTGATATGCAATTTGAATATCGCTGGTAAGTGACAGTTAAAATATGCTAAAATTTTAAGTGACCGAAACATCATTTATCATTGAATAATGAATATATATTTATTTAAAATGTCAAATGTTGCAGTGAGATCCACCTTAATTAATTATTCAAGAGATCAGAACGTTACATATATATAGCACTTGATCTAAAATATAATTGTTATATATATATATATATATATATATATATACTTAACACTTGATCTAGAATACAATTAATTTATATATATATATATATATATATATATATATATATATATATAACACTTGATCTAGAATACAATTATTTTATTGGCAATGCCTAAAGTGGAGAAGTAAAATTTAGAATTGCTCTTGCAAAAACATTTGTAATTCAACGGTTGGGTTGTCTTCCCGTTGTACCTGAGAGTTTGGAACTTTTAATCTAGCATTCTTATCCTGAAAAAATATATATATATATATTTTAGAATTGCTCTACAATGAACTTGGGATAGTCCGTTTTCTAAGGAAAATTAGAATGTGTGCCTCTTCTCAGGACCAGTTTGGTATCACAATATCAATCAAGAACTCAATTCATTTGTTACTTTCCAAAAAAACTCATTCATTTGTTTTATATGACCTTATGTATACAAACACTTGTGAGCTTGAGGACATCTATGAAATAGATCTTCAATAAACTTGAACCTTTTTTTGTTGCAGTGCATGCGTGACAAGAGATTATATATGTCAGTAGGTATCACTCACCTCTCATCTTTCTATATTAACCTAAAAGAAGGACGCAAGCCTATGAGACATCGATCTTATTTTTTTTACCTCAGTTTTGTTATTAGGTATGATTAAAATTATCACATTTTGACTTTTGAGGCACAAAATGTTAAAAAATAGTTGTACGCCGTCATCTTGTTGCCTCTGCAATAACAACAGCTAATTATTTACGTAAAACAACCATCCATCACATTTTGACTTTTGAGGCACAAAATGTTAATTTTGGATTGTCATCTCAAAGAATTGTTATTTAATTTTTGTTTTCTTGGTGTGTTTGATGGGTGTTTTACATAGTATTTTTATAAAAATAAGAGATAATAACATATTTAAAAAATAAAGAGTTAAAGTGATATACTGAGTATACTCATAGGTGTTTTTAACACTTAATCTTGTATATATATATATAATAATTACATTTTAGATCAAGCCTTATACATATGTATATGTATAAAATAAGAGACTTAATATTGACACTCCACAATTATCCTCTGACATTCAAACCCTCTTTCTTTAAAAATTAAATTATAAAAGAGTCCTTACATCACTCAATGTCTAGTATTTCTTATATTTTCAATATTATAATTGCCCTCCTTAATTTTATGATATTTTATCTCTTTGTGGGACTCTTTTAGAATTCCAACTCATTTTTACCTTTCGTTGACCAAAAAGTTTAGTTTCAGTTTTCATTTTCATATTTTAGCATCCCGCTTTAGTTTTTATTTTAATATTTAATTTTAGCATCCGCATGCGAGCGCGATAAAGAATGACAAAATAGTTTCCAAATTACTTTCTCAATAAAGACTCCAATGTATATATAATTCCTAAATGGCATTGATTGTAATGTCAAAAAGAATATTGAGTCATCAATCAAATAATTTATTATATAATATGATCGATTTTGTGTGCCTATGTATTCATAAATATGTAATTGTAAATTATCAAGGTTTTTTTTTTATTTTTTTATATGTAATTTATTTTTTTGTTTAACTCTAATATTTTCTTCTATAATTGCTTTACAAGTCAAGTTCGTTAGTGGTTTTTTTTTTTCTAGCACTCTGTACTTATTCGTGATTGGTCATTTGCCTTTATATATATATATATATATATATATATATATATATATTGGTGTTGGTTCTATTGTGTTGCTTCAATTTTGTTATGGTAGTTTATTCGTGTAGGACTTGGGCAGGCTTTTTTTTTTTTTTTTTCCTTCTAGTGTTGGTGCTATTGTCGGCTTCCATTTTTATGAGGAGAGATTCGCAGAGGAAGGTGGGCGGAACGTGAAAAAGAAACTAAAGGGAATTTTTGTGTAATATACCAACTCTTCTGAAATTTCACTTGGAAAGAGAAAGAATGGAGTGCTTGACAACCGAAGTCCTTAACAACGGCCATAAAAACAAGCTCTCTAGAATTAGTAATCATAGTTTTTATAGAACTGATAGGCACTCTGTTCCTAGAAAAGTGATTACAAATCTACTACGTTTTCGGATCATTTTTCAACATTAAATTTGAGCAAAAATCCAATTATTGTTCAGTCTTTCTGTTACTAGCAATTGCTCATCATAGCTTGAATAGAGGAAGAACTGAGGAACGAGTACCATTCAGTTCAGACCTCGCGGCGGCTAAATCTGTGATAAGAACTTCCTTGTATATAGGTGGATTGATCTCAGATAGAAGTTCCTTTATAGGTCCACACGGCTTAGATACATTCCTAGTGCTGGGAGAGAAGAAACATGCAGTTGATACCCTTGGTCCAACTGATCGAGCCAGTACTCTGTGCTCCACACTTTTGAACTTATCGTTGGTGATAAGCTGTACATGTAGGAAATCAAAAAGAAGAAAAAGATCAAACCCAAAAAAAAAAAAATTGTGATATGTATGATAATGCATTACCCAATATATCTCGTTACATAGTTCACACTAAGATTAGGGAAAAAGAAAGACCAAAGTTGACGTGGGTAGAGTAAGTAATGAATGATATGATAACATGTGATTTTTGAACGCCTTGGCTTAGATAGAGCAGAATGACAAAAAATAAGATTCATGTAAACTAACCCAAATAGTTAGAAAAAATAAATAAAGCTTTGATTACCATAAGACCCGTCTATATATGTTTTAAGGACATTATAAAACGACTAATGAACAAGTAATTCATTGGTTTTAACTATACCTGCATAAAATCCCCAAGGTTTGCTATAAGAGCTTTTGGGACAGGATGCACATCAACCCAATGATCTTGATGAAGACTTTGAAGGCCACCAATGCCATCTTGGAGGAGAAGAGTTAGAAAAGGCAGGTCTGTATGTTGGCTCAAGCCTTGAGTCAGGTCAGGCTGTGGGCAAATTGGGTAATAGTGGCACATAAATGATGTAGTCTTCATGCACTCTGTGCTCCGAAAATAGTCACTGCTCAGCCCTAGAGCTTCTGATAGTAGTTCACATAGTTGCCCCTTCAGTTTGATTATGCATTTCATGTACTCTTCCACTTCTCTTCTGCACAAACAAAATTAAGTATATGTGGACTTCACCTAGAACACTAATAAATTCATGGTGGGTGTGCTGATACTGGCAGATATACACGAACATAGATATTGAGAAAGATATATATAGTTATTACTCTGATGAAAGATTAATAATAAAATAAAAGTACTATTTTAACTAAACAAAATCCTACAAGCAAAAATAAAACACGATTATTAAGAACAAAAAAAAAAAAAAGGTACTTTAATAACTCATACGATAAGTAGTTATAGAAATTTTCATTTAATTAGTGACAACTAAAAATATTAAGATATATGTATCATTCTTATTATTGGCACTTTTGCATCATGGTATCATAATTTAAAACTTTAGTTTTCTCTTCTTCCACTGCTCAAATGATTACTATATAATTTAAAATATTTTTTATGTAAACACTATCTAACGAAAATGTTTGAGAAAGAAAGTTCGTGTATCTTTATTAAACATGAGGAGACTTTAATGAAATTCATCTTTTTGTCTAATCGATATCCTACATGTGTGTATACTATTGTAAATGTAAATGTAGTAATGATATGTTATAGTGAGGCTTACCATAATAATGAACTTTACATTTTAGTTTTACAAAATTAGACTTCAAAAGTAAGGCTAAAAGGCTTCAACTTAAAATTTGTATGAATTTTGAAAAATACAAGTTATATATATTTTTTTCAAACTGACTATCTTTTAGGCTAATAAATAAGTGGTTTGAAAAAAAAAAATTGGATAGGGAAAATGAAATTGTCTATGAAATTTGGGACCAAGATTTGAACTTTTTGTAAAAACAACTATTTTTTTTAATGGTATAACAAACATTTTGAAAATATATAAATATATAACTATATATAAATCTAAAACAATAATTATTATTCACATTATATATATATATATATTAATTTACTAACAATTCCTTGTAAAAAGCTTATGACAAAACATAGATACAAACATAAACTTAGACTAAATTTCACATGATATATCTCATAACGTCATAACCCAATTCTCCCTTTTTCTTTCTTAATCAAATTTTTTTTTTTTTTTTTTTTTTTTCAAATTTTTCTTCTTTGAACAAGAATGTTGAAGTATTTAGAACCCCATGTTATATATGCTTCTCCAAACAATTATGCTATGATTTATAATTTATAAAATTGACCATTTAATACCCAAATACATGTGTCCTAGAATATCTAAGTAGTATTAAACAGGTGTTTCAAAATTATGAATACATAGCGGAAGTATTAGCCGCATGTACATGCAAATATATGAGATTACATCCGAAACAGAAACTGTTTCCTTGTAGAAGTATTTGTGCTTTGATAATCAATTTTTTTTTTCTTTTAATAAATAAATAACTTTGCAAGTTTGATACCTGAGGACTGAAGGTAACACATCCGGGTTCACCATATCATCTCTGAAAACACAAGATAATGTATCATTCCAATTTGCAGCAGCTTTGGATAAATGGAGGTATTCATTGCTGTAATATCTCACATTTTGTGTTCGATCTCGGCTATACAACTCCATCTTTGTCTCTCCAGGCTGCTCATGGAATAGTCGAGCACCTTCTATCATCCCATCCATTACAGTATCTGGTACTCCATGATTGATAATTTGAAAGAACCCCCATGTTTCTGATGCTTTGCAGATTTCATTGACAATCTTCTGTCGATGTTGGCCACCATTTTCAAACCCTTTGAGGTCTATTATGGGGATTTGGTGTGTAGTGTTTGATGAGTTTTGAAGGTTCTCTGGAGGGTTGATAAAGAAACTGGGGATGTTGGCAATGCCAGCATCCACAAGTCCTTTAACTCCAGCTTTTGTTTCCTCGAATTCAGTCACTCCTTTTGCCCAATTGTAATCTCCATCAATAGATTTTTCAGTGGTTGAGACTTCCATGGATGAAGATGTGAACAAGTACTATAGATGTAGGTGTCTTCTATATGTGCAAGCTAAGGAGTGAATTAAAGATGTTGATGATGAGTACAGGAAGTGTTGGTGGATGCAGGATACGAGTGGCAAGAAAGTCAGAAACAAATAAAGGAAGCAGATAGTTGGTGTGGGGCGTGGTAATTATTGTGATAATAAAGTAGTTTAAGTGGTTGAGACTTTGCCTGGATGAAGTGGTGGGAACCCATGCACTCCTTTTCAATAATTTTTATAGAAGTTCAAAAATATATATGGGTCTATATATGAATCTAAAACAATAGTAATTGTTTATCATGCTCTATCTATATCTATATATATAGTGTGTGTTTGTGTAAATATATATATATATATATCAATTACTAGCGTTTCGTTGAAGTATCTAGAACCTTTCTTATGCTTCTCCTAACAATTATACTGTGATTTTTAATTTAAAAAAATTACATTTAAATGCTCAATATACATGTCTCCTAGAATATCTAGGTAGTATTAAACGCTTATTTCAAAATCATGAATATATGTGATGGGAAGTATAAGACATGCATATGTAAATAGATGAGATTATATACGAAACAAAGTGAATATATGTGATAGGAAGTATAACACATGTATAAACAAATAGATGAGATTATATACGAAACAAAAACTGTTTCTTTGGAAAAGTATTCGTGTTTTCACATTCAATTTAAAATAAAATACATACAAAAATTAAAAATTAAAAAAAAAAAAAAGTCCAAAAAAATAATGGACATGCCAAAGAGTAATGATGTTGATGATGAGTGCATGCAGGACATTAGTTGCCAGAAAGTCCAAAAATATATATATATATATATATATATATATATATATATATAAAAGGAAGCAGAGTAGATGTCAGTTGTGGTAATAAATGGTAGATAGTGCGTGTGGATGCGTATCCATCATTATATATTTTTAAGTGGTTGAGACCCTGATGAATTAATATACGGATAAGGGTGCATAATGGGCCGGGTCGGGCCCCGGTTTTAGGAATCCATGCCTGAGTCCACGGGTTTTGACTTTTCAACGGCCGGCCTGGGCCTAGTTGTATTTTACGAATTGTAAGTCCGGTCCTATATACAATTTAATCGATTTTTAGACAAAGACATTCCCTTAGGTTTGATAAAATTAACAAAGACACTCAATGATTCCAAATGATAAATTAACATTATTATTCTTTGACACGTTCAATTACCAATTTATCCAATATCATTCTTTTTTTATTAACTAAAATACCCTAGTAACCCTACCACACTCACCACCACTAGTTCACACCCACCATCACCATTTCGCAGCCCTACCATAGCCGCCGCCGCCGCCGCCACCATGGTAAATTTCTAATGTATGTATATATTTCTGCAACAGAATAAGAGATTGAGATTAACTTTGCAAGTGCTTTGAAGAAATTAGGAAATAAAAACACATTTTTTTAAAGAAGAGATGCCAAAAGCAATACAGAGGGCAATGGAAGAATGGAGGATGAGAACCAAAAATGGCAGAGAGTGACCAACCAAAGTGAACCGAGCCATGACTTTCTCTCTCAACAACACAATCCAACACATGGAAACGTGGCAAAATGGGTTTCAATTGGTATAAAGACTAAAACATGTGCTTAATTTCTTTGGAGTATTTTCTTAGTAACCAAACCAGCTGTATAAATCAAATTGTAAGTTGATTAACACTGAAACGATATGTATAAATCAAATTAAAATTGAAACAAGTAGTATAAATAAAATTAACGCTGAACCGATCTTATAAAACAAGCTGTTAATTAAACACTGAAACTGTCTTATAAAACACGCTGTATAAATCAAATTACCTCAATTGGGAATTTCTCAGACTTGAAGATTTTTCTGTTAAGTGGGAATCGATTCAGGGGTACCATTCCATCTGATATAGCGCGGTTGAGAAGCATCTTGAAGCTGACATGATAAATACAAAGAAATGATTAGAAGAAACAAGGGAAGATCCCTGACCACCTAAGCTACACAGAGAGAAATTGTTGCCCGTTTGGGATTGCTTCTAAAAAGCATTTTTATTTTAAAAATTATGTTTAGGTGTTATTGGTAATCATTATAAGCCTTTAAATAATTATCAAATTTAGTTCAGTAGAGCATTTGAATGAACTAGAATTTAGAACTTATAAATTTGGTAATTTTTTTTCATTAAACAATTTTATACATTTTATTTTTTTATAATGACAATTATACCCCTTCTTTAATAAAGTTGCTATTATCAAATATGGTAACATCATATTAAATGATATTATTGTAAAATTAACAATAAAAATGTTTAAAAAAAATTATTACCAAATAAATAAAAAATAATTTAATTATTAAAATTACTTATTATAATATGTCACTAAATACTTAACATGTTTTTACTAAACTAAATTTTTTGATAAAAGGGCTTTTTCTATTCCAATAGTAAAGGGCTCTAAGTTGTGTTATTTTTCAGATACTACACTACATATTGGTATGGCAAGCAATTATTATCAGCTCTAGCCACATATTCTGCTTTTGGAATAAAATAACAAAGCTGAATTACAACCACAAATTACTATGTGATCCAAGCTTTGCAACTTCAGTAACTCTGCCAACCCAAATGTATTCGAGCTCCAAATTTATTCTGCCAATGAGCATTATTCATGAGCTTGAAAGTATTTTTGGTGCATTTTTGTGGTCTGGTCCAATTTTTAAAAAGACAGGTGCCAAAGTTGCTTGGGATAAATGTTGTCTTCCCAAAAAAGCAGGGATTTAGGTTTTCTTAACTTGCACATATGGAATGAAAGTGCTGTCATGAAACATTTTTGACACATTATCAGCTTTAAAGATATGTTGTGGGTTAAAATGGATACATACCTATCTAAAGATATGTTGTGGGTTAAATGGATACATACCTATCTCCTCAAAGGTAGAAGTATTTGGGATGTCAAAGTTTCTGGACAATGTTCTTGGAGTTGGAGAAGACTGCTTGGCCTTAAAGATACAATCATGCCCCTTGTCAAGCTAGAAATTGGTGATAGAACTTCAGCCAATTTCTGGTTTGACAAGTGGTGTCATCTTGGTCCACTCCATCTATATATTCTTCCCTAACAGAGGGCTGAGGCAGAAACGTCTAACCGAGCCCTGGAACACTGTCCAAAAATTTTAGATAAAACTTTAATACTCAAGGCTGATAATAAGAAAATCCCTTGTTTCAAAAGCCATTTTAAATAACGTATCCTGTCTCAACATGCACACACAAAGTCCATTTCCCTGTCCACACATTATCTGAAAATATTAAAGTAGGTTTCATAATTAAAATCCCATAACCCTTTAATTACAATATTTTAACACGATTTGTTTTGGAAAAATATTTACAAATATACATGTTGGTCTCAAAATATACATTTTCCATTTATACAAAGATATATAACCAAATAGAACCCAACATCCATCCATGGCTGTGGAGGAATTCCCTCTACGACCTCTTGTCTATAACCTGAAAAAAATGTATATATAATAGGAATGAGCAACTACAGCTCAGCAGGAAATGTCTAACCACCACTCCTTAATACCCCCATGAATCCAAACAAATAATAGGAATCAGAAAGGGAGTCATGCAAATCAAGGAAAAAATAATCATCACATTATCATGCTGTCTCACAAAACAGTCAACACAGAAGAATATGAAGTACCATATACACAGAGTCTAAACCATTTTCCTTATTACAACTTTCTATACAAAGAATCACATTTCTCATTATCACAACCATTAGTCTAAAGGTATGCCCCTGTACCGTAAAAAGACTATCCCTCTATTAATACCTAAGGAATCCTTTAGTATTAATGATTTACTGCACCTAGATAAAAGGATAACCACTCATGTCTAATTATAAACACAAAGTGAGAATATCCATCTCCATTACTCCATAATTACCACATTCTTTCCAATCAATATCTTAGCTGGTCTTATACTATGCCGGGAGAAAAATAATCGCAATATCACATTTATAAACCAAGTCATGAATGGATATGTCATGCAATGGGTGCAATGTCATGCGATGTCGCTCCTCATACTTAAAATCACTTACATTATTCATTTTTCAAACAGTTAATGTAAACCCCTTCGGTAACCCCTCAGTGGCGAAAGAAGGATTGGTTACTGTCCCTGACCCTTAGTACCACCGCAGCTTTATTTGGGGCCTAGATAGCTCAACCACACTAGGGCGATCTCCCTAGTTCCCTCTAGGCTATATTAACGCCACGGACCTTTGGTACCCCCTTGGCATCCTGGTTTTCACAAAATTCTTCTCTTAAATCTTTTTCCCAACACCCCTTTTTCATTTCAAAACATTTCTTTCCCATTTTTCTTGTCCAATGCTATGCATGAATGCACATGCTTCACAATATTATAATACCACATCATTACTAACATCAAAATCCAATTCTATAAACATACTTTGGTAACAAATTTATCATGGCAGCAAGCTTCACAATGACATACTATCACAGCCTTTAAGAAATCAACTCAAGCATGTTATCATCTAATCTATACAACATAAAAATTATTAGACATAGAAAACATATAGAAATTTTATGGACACATTTTGGCAGCAAATTTATCATGGCAGCATGTTTCAAGGATAATGTATCATTCAGTTTTTGAACACTATTACAACACCAAACTTATAACAAAACAGCCCATAATTGAAGTGAACTAAATATATAATTTCCACCTTGTCAAACAATAACAATACAACTATTGTGATTACTAGAATTTCAGTTTTAGGCACATAAACACCAACAACATTTTAAGAGTTCAAATTCCATATTTAAAACACATAACACATCATTTCTGTCTAAGCTACAAAATTTCAGATTTTTATTACACAACATACTTGTAAATAAAGCCTAATTCAAGTCATATAATGATTCAATTTAAAGGATTTAATTCACAAGGAAACAAAGGGTGTGAGGATTAAAACAACCCCTACTAGTTGTTAACAATTCATACGCAACTTATTACCTCCATCTTTGAAAATTCATAATAATTTCAATTCTGTGTCAAATTGAGTGATTCCAAAGCCTGATGAAAGATTAAACAATGTACTTTGAAAGTGTCAATTTAGTTTAATAAAATCCCTTCCCAATTGGAACAGTTTTGACCCAAAATTTCAAAATAAAATTTGCCCAAAAATTGATTTCCAGCCTGTAGCTTCCATCTTTGAAAAATCATAAAAATTTCAATTCTCATCCAAATTGAGTGAATCCAAAGGCCACTGAAAGTTCAAAGACTATATTTTCAGGATAAAATTTTACTTCACCAAAATATCTTACCATTTAAAGCAGGTTTGATGAGAAAGACTCAGACAGAATCTGCCCCAACCTAGAATTTCCAGCAAGAACACTCTAACTTCAAAAATTCATAATAAATTCATTTCTCAACCAATTTATGTGAAACCAATTTTCAATGAAAGCTAATTAACTATATTATCATAATATCAAATCATCTCTAAATGATAATTTACGAATTTACAGGAATTTGAGCAAAACAGTAGCATGTAATTTCAACCAAACAGTTTCAGCATGCTTCAGTTTCATTTTTATACACTTTACAACTTAAATTGAAAGAGATTAACTCACTAAAGGCAAAGGAATTAAGGGTTAGACAATCCTACCTTAAGAGATGATCAAACCCACCAACAAGATAATGAAGATGAAGAACTCTCCATTGAAGCACAACTAAGATCCTCCTCTTTTCAAGGCACTTTCTGAAACCCATGGATTAAGGAATGACCACATATACTATATCAATGGAAACCTCACTTCCTCTAAGTCATTTTTCATTCACACCTCACAATCAAAATCTCATCACAAGTCCTTCAATAATGAGTTCAAAAATGGTCACTAATGATGGTGACGAAGGAAAGAGGAGATGGAAATACAGAAAACAATTCCTATCTGCACTTGGCTGCGTGGAGAAGTCATACAAAGGTAAGCTAAATGAATGTCATGTGGTGTCCATGTGTCCATGTGTCGAGCCCACTATGAATCAAATGTGTGACCATGATAAATGACCAAAATATCCCCACCTCTTCACGTACTTAACTACCAAAATGCCATTACAACCTCAAATGACCATTCCACCCTCATGAATAAAACAAATGACATCCAAGATAATTATTTTTCAATTAAGAAAATAACTCCAAAACCTAAAAATTCCGGTGTGGGACCCACACGAGTTACTAGGCCCAAAAATCTATAAACTGTCCAAACGGTTCAACTAGCATATCCATGCTTCCCAAACTCTATGAAACACTCCAAATCACTATAAAACCTTCGTGACATGCAATCCCAAACATGGCACGCAACCCGAGGTAATGAAATAAACACTTATGCCGAAAATGAGAAATGCTCGAAAAATCGAAAAAGTGATGGACATCACATTGACAGCATAACCAAAGTAAGTACATTCATCACCACCAACACATGGTCCTTTCCAACAGCCATTCTCAACATCTTGTCACAGCTACAAAACACTGCCTCACTGCTAGACCCCAATCCCAATTGCAGAGATAAATACATCTGGCTACCATTTAACTCTAGCCAATTCTCCATATCAAAAACCATGAAACATAACAACCAGCATTTCCCTTCCCTACCCTACCTTGGCCCCATCTTGTCTGGTCTAAACCATCCATACCTAAGCACTCCTTTACCCTATGGGTTGCAATCCAACACAAATTACTAACACTGAAAAGAAGGTGTACAACACACATCGATTCCACCATGTGTATCCTTTGCAACACAGAACTTGAATCACGTGACCACCTATTTTTCACTTGTTCCTTTGTCAAACCCTTGTGGCACTTTTTACAGGCACGTTGTGGGTATCATATCCAATCTTCTTCTTGGACAAGGCTCATTGCTTAAGCATCACACCATTGGAGGGGCAACTCAGAATTTCACAACAATACAATCTCCAAAATGGGATTAGCATCCTTAGTCTACCATATTTGGAATGAGAGAAATAAAAGAATTTTCAAGAAGAAATCACTCGATGCTAATTCAATGTTCCACCTCACTTTGGAAACAATTCGAACTAAATTGCTTTCTTCTTCAATCTCTGACTCTCTTAATGCTAGAAGAATTGCTATGGAATGGGAGCGTCCTAAATCAGTGATTCGACCTCTGAGGAAGCCACCAGACTCAATGAACTAGACTACACAGAGCATTGTTGGAAACATTCTCTATGATGATCACCGGATTGCTGTGTTGATCGATGGATCATGCACATATGTCTGTTGGGTTGTTGTTTGGGCTCTAATGCTTTATTTTTTCCCACTGGGCCTTCATGTTTTCGGTAGTTAGCATTGGGTTAACTCCTTTGGACTGTACTTTAGTAACTCTGGTTAGGGATGGCAACTGGGCGGGATGGGGCGGGGATTCCATTCCCCATCCCCATCCCCGATGCATTTTTCATTCCCCATCCCCGCCCCCATCCCCGCTTAAAATTTTGCCAAAATCCCCATACCCGCCCCCGCCACCTTATCCCCGTCCCCGCCCTGCCCCGCCCCCGACCCCGGCCTCATAATTTTTTTTATTTAAAAAAAATCAATTTTTTCTTATTTTCATATATATAATAAATCTAATTTAGTAATAAATTATTATATGTAAGGGTATATTAGTAACTTCACACTTAATTAGGGCGGGACGGATTTACCCTATTCCCACCTCCGGCCCCGACCCCGGCGGGGATTCATAATTTGTCCCCATCCCCATCCCCGTTTAGGTAAAAGGATCCCCATTCCCGCTATAAACGGAGCGAGGCGGGGCCCCGGTGGGGATGGGGAATTTGCCATCCCTAACTCTGGTATTGCTCCCAAAAAAAAAAGAAAAAAGTAATTTCGCACTCTCATGTACAAGTACTTCATGATCCACTATATTTCATTTCGTCAATTAGGGTAGTAGAAGTGAGCGAATAACCATATCTAATGAAAGCCAACAAAACAAACACTATATTGGCTAAGCTAGCAATGACAAGAAAATAGGCAAATTTTATAAATAGATACGCACTGTTATTAACCAAATATATTCAATATTTATTGATACAACATTCTGATTTATTCGAAAAAAGATTAGACAGAAAATCAGCAATGACAACAAAATATACAAATTTTATAAAAAGATGCACACTCTTATTAACAAGATTTTTATTTTGTATTTTTTTTCTCTCTAAAACTAGAGGACATGCGCATGCACTTTACAATATTACCCCTAGCAGGGCTTGAACGCTCAACCTGCTATTTGAGAAGGAGAGGTCATGCACTTGTCATGAACTTGTAGGCGGCCAAGGAACGGCCGGTATTTTGGCTCCAGCTATGGTGGATAAGTTCTGCCTTTGCATTTTCACCCGCAGCACCCATGGCTACATGCAATGTCAAGAAGTGGTATGGTTTTGGGTGAGCTCTTTTTGAGTGTGGCGCCTTTTCCTCGTCGTGATTCACATCTTCAAACCTACAAGCACAAACAAAATATTATGGGGCTGCTTGATTCGATTTTCTAAGAATAACACTAGTTTTATGTTTTGATGTAGAATAGGTTGCTTGCCAACAGGGACGGACCAGGAAATTGTGTGGGGGGTGAAGTGAAATTTTTTTTATTTATTTATTTTTGTAACGAAATCTCTTCACCAGCTTTCATTTGTGGACATAGGACATAATCAGAACCATGTTAAATCTCTGTACTCAGTATGATGTGTAATTCTTGTTTATGTTATTTGTTGATTGTTTTTGTACTTTGGTTATGGTTTGTCACAACATTTCAGTATACAGATTTAACTGGATAGGTCCCATTTTCGGATGACATATCATTTTTTTATAAATTAAAGAAGAAAAGTAGTACCTTCCAGTGAGGAGGGCTTCTTTTAGCCAGTCATCAAACTCTGCTGCGCAAGAAGAAAACGAACCATCTTCAGATTCGAGGCGAGACCCCAAGTTGTGAGTAGTACTTCCCGAACCAATGATCAGGATGCCTTCTTCCTTGAGGGGAGCCAATGCCTTCCCTATATTGTAATGGTAAGTTCCATCTTTGTCTGTCAGCACAGAGAGCTCACACACCGGAATATCAACCTCCGGATACATGAGCATGAGTGGCACCCAGGTAGCGTGGTCAAGTCCGCGGCTGTTGTCTTCTGCGACGCATTTGATCCCGGAAGCCATGAGCACTTCCTTCACCCTTTTTGCCAATTCTGGTGCTCCTGGTGCTGGATACTTCAGCTGGAAATAGGCAGCAAAATGGATATGAAAAAGACCATATTTTATATTTGACCATCATCAACATTGCCTTGATCTCATTGTGAAAAATATCATTGCCGGCCAGGTTTAGGGATGGTCAGATATACGTAGTCTTACGTATTCTCACATGCCAAAAGAATGTTTTCTTAGTTCAAACCTGTGACCTAAAGCCTTAGTACTGTTGCACCAAAGCCCACCCTCACTAATAATACTCTCAAGCAGCCACTTTTTGAGTCGGGAGAGATGCTTTTTTTTTATTATTGTTTATTACTACTAATAGTAGTGTTCGTTAATTATCAAAATGGTACAAATTTTAAAAGGCAAGTAAAAGCCAATGTTTGAGTTGGAGTGTACTCACCTAAAGATTAAGCTGTTTTTCTGTCAGCTAAAAAACACCCATTGATGTTATACAATGTTTAGTGTTGCGGTGTTAGAGAAAATGCATATATGGAGTTTTAGGTAGTAAATAATTAAGTATAGTATTTTACTTCTGTTAGTTATTTCCAAATAATGAGAGAGAGAGAGAGAGAGACCTTGTATAAACATTCAGGGAAGCCCACAAAGTCATATATGGTGTCGTGGCGATCAACGACATTAACGGAGGGTTCAGCAGTCCGCCAGTGAGCAGAAACCACCAGAATGGAGGTAGGCTTCTGCCGGAGTATCTTCTCCTTCCAAGATTCCATGTAATGCCTCACTGGCGACGACTTATCGGTCAATGCTGTTGGCGGTCCATGAGATATGAAGAATGTCTCCTTAAAATCCATCTCTTCCAAAATCACAATCAATGACCATACAAACAAGTTTCAAGAGAAGAAAAATGTTGCTAGAGGGTTTTTTTTTTTTTTTTTGTTTTGCATGCAAGAGATATAACTACTAGAGGCCTTTATAATCGTGTGGAGTGTCTGTTTTGTTGCATGTTAAAACTTGCACATGTTAGACATGCTAATAGAGAACTGAGTTGTTTAATTATTTTGACCTTGTCAGGTGTCATGTACGTCTACATAACAGCAGCAACAGAGTTTGAAAAAACAAAAAAAAAAATCAAGATTCCTTCGTCAATTAAGGATAAGTCTAAAATAGAATTGGTCACCTCATCTTGACGTGATTGATCGTTATCCTTATTATCAAAATTATTAAAATAATTGCTTCAACTCAGCCTAATGCATCAATCCTAAAATCCCCCTTCCAACTAGGCTCCCCAATGGATAGAATGTTAAGGTTTATGGTATAACCTTTTTATCATCAAAGTAGAGGAGAGGTGAGTGCGGACAAAAAGTACGGGGAAGAAAAGTATATGTGAGTGTATTTTTTATTAATGAAAAAAAAATAAAAATAGGCTCTCTTGTGTATAGAATAATACAACTTTCCACGTGTTATTAAGTAAGGTGACTCACTCTTAACTCGGTATAAGTTTCGAATTTTTTTTTCACCAACCAATGTAGGACTCAATCCTGCCTTTCGTCTTTAAATCTTTTGTGCTGCCATGACTCATTTCCTTCCATCTCAAATCTAAAACACTTATTTGTACTCCCAAAAATAACGTCTATAGCTATAAAGCAGTATTATTACGTGCGTTCCTAATTTTTTTCCCGACCTGTCAATCACTTTAAAGCAATCATGTACAGATATCATGTGGAGATCGAAGATATGTCTTTGACATGATCTATTGAGATTGAATTTCATATGTAAATAGAATGTGCAGGGACTCTTGTATGAGGTGGCACTCAATTATAACCTTTGAGGACACATGCAGAACAACTTTTTTTTTAAAGTGACCCAACATGGTTAAAACTTTTAATCATAAAATGTGAAGTAAAAGTATCCTATCCTTATTGAACAGAAATAAAAGAAACCGAGAACCAAGAATAGGTTATGGTCGAGAATATAATTTCCCATCGTTATTTTATATCCTTTTAGGGTCGGTTGCCAGTAGCATTTATAAATTATATATCTGAGAGAGAGATGGACAGACCAGTGACTTAACTGTATCAGGTTCCTATTTTTTTAAAAGATAACAGGAATTCGAGTGTCGGTGGAAATATATGAGTCTGGGTACTAACTATGGAAAGAGAGAGAGAGCACGAATGAGTTCTTGATTGGTTGTTAGGAAACATCTGAAGCCGACCTTTGTAATTGATGGCTTCTTAGTTCTGTCTCCCTCACATGGGGCCTTGATTGGTTGTTAGAAAACAACATCCATAATGATGGTGGGTCTTTTTTATTGCTGTTTCTTAACACAATTGAATAATTCAAATTCTTGAACCAAATAAGGTACAATTATCACCTTTGTCGCATGTCCAATACGTCAAAGTATGATGACAAATAATTGAATAATTCAAATTCTTGAACCAAATAATTCAACCGGGTGCGTCAGGCAACGGACCGTATCAATAGCCCCGTTTTTCAATAGGACGGGAGCTAAATTGTGCATTCCAATAACAAAATTGTGCATCAAGCGTATTCTCGGATTGGTTCCTATGTCTCCAGTAACTTTGATTCAAGTGTTTGTGAATAAGATGTTAGGAATTTCTCTTCATGTGTTAAATACATGTGAGGCGTGTTTGTACACCACTTTTGGGATTGCTGTGAATGCTATGTTTTTCCAAGACTGTTTCAGTGTTATAAGAAATAATATTATGTTGCTTTACAGCAGATAAGGACTGCCCTGGTCAACAGCAGCAAAAGCAGGTTTCCTGCTTGATTTTCTAGTTGTAGCTTAGAAGTGGCTATTATGTGGCATAGTTTGACATTGTTTGATTGCATTTACTAAAATTAACTTATTTAACATTTAAAGCAAAAATCAAGGGGCCAAAAAAAAAAAAAAAAAAAAAAATTACAAGAGCAACCACACAGTACTTGAATTCTATGACAGAGGAGCAATTGGTTATAGAAACTAAGGTGGCAAAATGGGTCACAACCCATCAATCCGCCCAACATCCGGCCATTTTTTAATGGTTTTGGGTAAACCATATTTAAAAACCAACAGTGCACCTGAGTCTTCCTTTTTCAGATCTCAATTCATATATTCTTTTTGCCATAAAACAACATACCAATACAAAGTATAATCACTTGTCTTGAACCATATATCAACAGATAAATCAATCAACAAGACATTGACAACAGTTTCGATGCATAAAAAAATATTCACCTTTTTTTTGCCTCGAGGACCAAGCACAAACATATGCTGTAAAATCCCACATCCCCTCGTAGCAGAAGATTGAATGGATTTTGTATTTTATTAATGTTTTGGTGTATAATTTAATTTTTCCTTTTAGGGACCTGAAATAAAGCTGTTAACACCAACAATAATAAAAATAAATGAAAATAAAAATTACAAAAAAAATAAAAACTCTATGATATAATTTCATCATTTGCAGTGCCAACATTCTGTGAGGTTTGCTGGGACAACTAATTTAGATGTTCAAAAAGACCAGCAAACGATACAACAACATCCACCACCGCCAAGGCCTTGTCTACATGAATCTCATGTTTTCATTATGCTCTATTTAAGGCCATAACTTCAGTCAAAAAGACAAGCAAACAATATGGCAAAATTTAATGCAAGTAATAAAAACTGAACATAAATAATTAACATACAAGAACTGATAATCAATGATCATTAAAACTGTGAATTACTAAGAAATGCAACCATGCATCTGGCACTTTGGAACGACCTATCTACTTTTTGCCATACTGCAGACTGAATTTCAAGAAGTTTTCGTGCCTTATCCTGTAAATTTGACTGGCGCCGAACTGTTTCACCATGAATCTGGCCAGAAGAAAGAGGTACAATGTTATTGAAAGATAAAAACAACCGACTATTGATGAGAAACTCCCAAAAGTTAAAGTCGCAAAAATATTAAAATAGCTTCCAGCATAGGTGCTATTAAAATTTTTATTATGGCGTGGCTGATTACTGGAAACTCTAAAGCTCCGTGGAAGTGTTACCATTCACCCAATAATTCTTTATAGCCAATAGAGAACACTGCTCAAGAAAAATTGCACTGATTGTAAAACGGTGTTTTTTTTACCTTCAGAAACAGTCTTACTATAGCTTGTATAAACTCGAAATTGTTTCTGCATGAAATCTCGTGAATAAAATAATCCAGTAGCAGTTCAATAAAGTGCAACTCAGGTCTCTTATTGGCTTCTTGCTCATCATCACCATCATCATTATCATCATCTATAATCTGAAGCATTCTGAGTTCCATATCCAAAGTCGAAGAAGATAAGCTTTTCAAATAATCAGTGAATGCCGAGACTGAAAAATGTACAACACACAAATGTAACTCAAGCACGATGTTCTCTATATAAAATCAAGCTTTAATAATAATAATGAATAAAACATGCAAATGAATAGAGCTAGTGAAACTTACAGTTTTTTAGATCTGAAGAGGACTGAAGAAGTTGCAAAAATCGAGATGCCAGAGAATCAGCCTTTCTTCTACCTTTTTCAAGTTCATTACCTTGTGTATCCTTCTCTTCATTAACTGACTCGATAGGTTTAAATAATATTTCTCCAGAAAGCGATGGAATTGATGGCAAGAAGAAAGGCCCCTTTTCGGGTTTTTTTGGGGGTTCTATTGGTTTGTTGCGGGCCTGGAAGTTGTGAGACAATAATGTTTATATAGAACGTAAGTTTCCAAATTCAGTCCAATAGAAAAATTAGAAATGGAATAAATTGCAATTATTGGAATTCCTTGGAGAAAGTTCCAAATTTATATAAACAGATAGAAAATAAAGTGGAGCAGAAAGAACCTTGATAAGGTCTAAATTGATCAAGCTTTGCCACTGGCTCTTAGGCAATAGTGAGAGTGTCACCAGATCTGGGATTTGCTGAACTAAATGTGGAGTGAGAGAAGTGTCTTTGGAATGTGGGTGGTTCACAATGGGCTTATCGGAATCATTATCTTGAGAACCTTCTATTGAAGAGACAGATGGCAACTTAACGCTCACAATTTCCTTTCCACTTCCATAGGAATCAACAGTCGAAACTCCAGAAAACATTGCCTGATTAACCCTGACAAAGTTGCAAGTTCTGAGCATAAAAACTGAGAAATAACTAGGGAAATGCAGCTACTGCAAGCCATAAAACCTAGAACTTGATCTATAATACTTATTCATATACATAATCATCGAATGAATTTCAAGAATTTCACGTAAATTCTAATTAAACGTCTCATTAACTTTTTCATTAGAATTTCACGTAATTCTAATTACATGTCTCATTAACTTTCTCATCAGGATCTCACTGAATGATTTTTCAGATACTCACAAAAGATCAACCGGAAGAGATCTCCAACATGGTAAACAAGAATTAAAATTAAAGAACCTACCACAGGTAGACCCCATTTTGATCAACGTGTGTTGTTGCTAAAACATCCATATTGGGTGACAGAGACAATGCAGTTATAGACACATCAACATGAATAGCGTCTATTTGTCTGGCTAAGATAACATCCCATATTCTAAGGCTCCCATCCATGCTAGATGACAAAAGCCATTTGCCGTCCTCACTGAAGCACGCATCTGTGATACGGTCAGTATGACCTTCGAATTGACGAACCATTCTTAGAGCCACAACGTCAAACAAACGGATAACTAAGTCATCTGCCACGGTAGCCAGAAGTCCTGAAATAATATTGAATAGCAATCTGAAAATATGATCTGAGAGAGAGAGAGAGAGTAATATTGAAAAGCTATCTGAAAATATGATCTGAGAGAGAGAGAGTGAGAGAGCATAGGCAGATATACAGTACCATTAGAACGATGATAAACTATCTTGCCCAACCAACAACCAACATCCAATCTGGATTTTAGCTCACGTCCCTTGAAATCCCAAACCTGCATAAACAATCCCAGGTAACAAAACTATCTAGCAGAGCAACAATGACCCCAAGTAGAGAGCTTCTGAAAGTTTAATCAACAACACACAGTATGCTCTAGACAAAGAACAATGCATCACATACCACAAAAAAGAACACAATGCATCATAATAAGGTGGTAAATATGCAGGTTGGCATCATAGATAACTAACACCCATCCCCCAAAGCACAATTCTATCTGTGTACTGTGCAATCCATGCCAATGAAAGATCATGTTGCTTAGTAAGGACTTTGGTATGCGAAAGAAAAATTACTAATCTACACCCTTTTTTTTCTTTCTAAACAGTATCCAGATTTCTTTGGGTAGGTCGTAGCACGCACAATCTAGGTTGTACATAGAATTAATTTAAAATTTCAGTATGAATAGCTCAGAGTTCCAACTTTTTCATTATTTTTTAACCCAAACCAACCCCTCCATATACAAAAGAACAGAAAAAGAAAGGTTCAAAAATAAATAGCTAATTATGAGGGAAAGTTGGAGGATGAACTCCTCTTTACCTTTCTTGTGATATCTATAATCTATTATTGTGGCGTACAAAAAAACCTTTATATCAAGTAAAAAAACTAGCAGTTGGTTGTCCTCAACAAGCATAGAGAGTTGGCAATGATTCATTAAAATTAGAGAAAGAATGCATGACTCATATCTGAATGTTATAAAAGGAATTAAGCATAACTTCATTCTGTTTTTGTATTCCTTTAATTATTATAGGAGCCCCACTAATAATTAAAGTGTGTAAAAAATAAAAAAATAAAAAATCAGTTTTGATTGTACTTTATTTATCTTGTTTTCCCTTCTTTATGCAACTCTTGCAAACATTTTAAAACCTAGAAGTCAAAACCTCTTATGTCGCTTCTCTTAAGTGGGGAGGATGAAATATTATCATTACCCACAAGTAAAAGGCCGTATGTCACATCACCTACCTAACCTTTTAAATAGAAGTACAAAAAATGTTATTCACAGCTAAACCTTCTTCAATGCATCTTAAATGGCATGGCAGTGATGTTACTAAGAATATGGGGTGATGGTCATTTTTTTTTTAACAATAAAAGGATTCGAGAAATGTCATCCCATCCAAGATGGATCCATCTTGCCATGTAGCATGATTGACCATTATAATATTGAACGCACCAGTTTGATTGAACGACCACCTTATACGTGATTCAAGTATGGTTAGATGTGACATTTTCAAAATACCAACATGGATCATATGTTTCTACAATCAGTTGCATCATTCGTGCTTGAAGGAATCTTGAAATAGTATGTTTCCCATAGTTTATGAATTACCATTGCCAATGGACCACGGAAATACAACTCTCCTGCCATCAGTTTCTGAAAGGAAAATCATCAGGCCATCAATGTGACACTCTTAAGTCAACCTTTTCATGTATTTAACTTCTTATCAATGCCTTGCGACTCATAAGGCTTTTTGCATGATAGGGGCACCTTTCATCTTCCGTTACATAGTTCAATGTTATTACCACAAGGACAAGACTATGATAGAATAGTCACAATCCATTTTTATCATTATTGTTAACAAGACGCATTGCATGCTGTCTAGGGACACACAAGAAAAGAAAAGAAAAAGAAAAAGACAAAAGAAGAAGGGAGAGAGAGAATGAGCAGTACGTTTTCATATACCAGGTCAAGTTTCAAACTCATCTTTTGCCCTTAGTTATGTACATATTCACCTACTACTACATAAAAATGATTAAGGATTTGGAAATACATATGATTTATATCATATTGACACTAGAACCCAGCATGAATAGGTTATAGTGAAAGTCAAAAGAAGCCAATGACACTAGAAACCAGCATGAATAGGATACAGTGAAAAGTCAAAAGAAGCCAATGGGCAATGGAATGACCATCACTGTATGTGGGATGACTACACACGGCTCCTTTTTTAGTCAGTCAACACTTTCAAAATGGATGTAATGAATGATGTAGTTCCAATACAGTAACTACCAATACACTGTTTTGGACAACTATCAGGGTGAGGCTTTTATATGTGAGAACCAAGGTTAGAAATACAAATTTAAGAATCACTCGCTAGCTAAAAGGGCGTATGGCATCATATCTTGGAATAAGGAACATGTACCTTTATATCCCCGTGATATCCTGCACTTATCATTAAGGTATTTGTGGAATCACATGCAATGCCAACCACCTCTCCATCATGGGCACAGCTTCTGCTTTCCGAACTGTCCACGTAACTGCCTCGGCTGATTCCTGACTGAAGATTAAAACGCTCTATCCAACCACCCGCTGTCCCTAGAACAGCAAAATTGCCACAGGCGCTAATGGTGCAGGCCTACAAAAAAGAGGAATATCACAACTTCAATTCATTTAAAACTTCAAAGAGATAATACACCTGGTAAAGTTTTGTCACCAGACATAAAACTTCAACAACAGCATCAGCAGTGCCAGAAAAGAAAAGAATTTCAATAAAAAATATATTTAATTCTTTTGCCAAATTGTTAGTAACTTTATAAATGACAAATTTTGATAGACAAAATCCTAAGGCACTAGCCAAAATTACTATTTTGTTTGCCTTAGGGTGAAAAAAAATGGATAATTCATGTGCTGAAAATTTCTCTCCTCGACCCATGAAATTTATGAAATAATAATATGAAAATGAAATAAACTAAAATATTACCTTAACTGGTGTTTGATTTTCTGGGCATGGTTTCAGGATATGCTCACCAAGAACAAAATTTTGAAGCCTCCACACATATGCTTGTGCAGTATCCATGTGACAGGTAACCACGTTGCACCAATCACGCTCCCTAATTTCAGCTAAAAATTGTTTTTAACAAAAAAGGAATCAGAGAACTGGATCAGATCGTCACACGATTGAAAACAATAGAAAACATAAAATCGAAAAGAAATAGGATTATCTACTGCTTATTAAAAATAGCACTGCTGTCTAGATAGATGAAACCCATCATTCAATTAAGCAGAGAACCCTACGACTGAATCACGGAAGTTTTGCACCCAAAAATCAGAATGTTTCTTAATGCTAAAACAGTGTCAAAACATTACATGAAGTGAATACATATAATGGGATCAGATTCCCAAAAGATTTGGTTCGATGATAATGAACCTAAAGTTTCATCAATTTTATCAGAAGTACCCATTGTGAAAATAAAAAAAGCTGCAAAGTTGCATTTTGGACAAATTAAAGCATCATCTTGGAAAATCATGAACACACAGGATACAATTTTCCAGTCACCATCCTTATTTTCCACATTAGAAGGTTTATTTTTTCTCATTTAAATGCTACACTTCCTGTTATCACATGTACTGCAGATAACTGTCTGTATTTGAAAAGACTATCTTGATGCTGCTGACCACAATCTATAGAGAAAGACAAACATATGCTTACTGAAAAGTGAAAAGGTACTTTCAGTGTGCTCCTTCATACTCCAGAAAATAACTAGTTGCACTGAATCTTTGAAAGACAAACTGACAATTAGGTATTCTAATTGTATATATAAATTATGATGCCTCCTGCCAAGGTTTCTACGCTCAGGGGGAAAAATGAATGATTTTTTAAACCTTTTTTTTACTATCTAAGTCATTCATTAAATACTGCCCCATGTCAAGTCTCTACAAAAAATTAATTTTTTCTACAGACTCTCCCTTCACTCTAGTTTAGTTGTCCCCAAAGAGTTCAGTCTGTTATCCCGCAGCTTTTTTTGAGCACTTGTCATCATACTTGGCAACTTGAAAGCACGTATCTGAAAGTAACAAAAGCAGCACGGCCTTCAATATCCAGTATCCTCCAAACAAATGCACTCATTAAGATTATCGTGATAATATTTATAATTGATTCCTTTAATACCTGCTACAACATTGATGACCTTTTAGAGACACGCAAATGATTTATTGTTGCTCATGGTCCCAATAAGTATCTGATATAAAAATGTTTAAATACACTTTCGAGAGAGAGAGATAGTCAAACATTCCTGCCATGTGCAGATTGAAAAGAGAGGCAACTAATGAGGGCAAGTAGGACAAAAGGGGAAAAAAAAAAATGTGGAATTGGCATTTTACAACCATACACCATACTGTCATTTTTAATGTAATAGAAAGATGGTCATTACAATACAAACTACTGAATCCTGAGGTAGCAAGTTATAAACAACCTTCATTCAAAGCATCTAATTGGGACTTCTTGAATATCAGCCATGTCTTCTTGTACAATATGCATAACAATTAAAATCAAAAGACATGACCATAGAAGAGAAAATTTGAAATTACAAATCAAAGCTGGATAAGTGGCAATGCGAGAATTTAGGAAATTGAAATGAAAGCATTAATGAAAAAGAAAAATTGAATAATAAAGATAACATATCAAATTTTTGAAATAACCATTAGTAATTATTGCCATAGCCAAATCCTCTTCAACATTTCAACTGGACCTGTATATGCATGAATAAAAACAACAGCAGGGAAAGGATCATACCGACATCAAACGCAATAACAGGTTTCAATTTTATCTCTTCTTCCTGAAAAAAAGGAGCAAAATAAAAATCTAAGTGGGTAGTTGGTAAAACCCAAGGTCAACAACAACACTAACTGCAATATTAGGGAACAAGATACCCATAATCTATAAATATCAAGCACATTTTGAGGAAATTGAAATTTGACACCTTTTTAGAGCAAATGAGAATTTTACAACTGCATATCACACAAATAGATTAATTAATTAAGCATTCTGCCCAAATATGGAAGTTGGGGGGGCATGTTGTTGTGTGTGTGTGTCTGTGACTCTAGGAGGCATACCTGATCAGAACTTCTATGGACAAACAATAAATTTATAGTTTTCAGGCATAAGCTAGTATCTATGCATTTATATGCAGTCAAAAAGGAAAAATTCAACTCCAAAAATATTGTAATAACTTACCCACAATAAATTTATAGACAAAGAAAGCATTAGCAGCCTACAACATAGCAACACAAGTGGAGACATACTATACTACAAAAAACTGGTGCTGAACACTTCATGATAAGCATTCATTTGCTGGGTGTGTTTAGTTAATTGGAAACATAAAAAATCTACCAAGAATATTCCAAGGATAGAAAAGATTCAAAAGAATTTCCTATTTGGAAGCTTGAGAGGTAAAACCCAGTATTATTAGGATAAATTTGAACAATGTGCTCACCTAAAGAGATAGGTGGCTTGGAGATATTGGTTATTGTGAATAAAGCTTTTTAAGGACAGTGGAGCTAAGTACGACAACAGAAAAGGCTGTCATTGAGAAAAAGAAATACAGTAGGAGGGAAGGTGAAAGTTTGAGGAATAATCATGGAGTGATTTGTATGGATAGGGATTTTGGAATGGTTAGCTTCATTCAGGAAAAGGGGTTACATTTTGCTGTCAATACAAATATATCTTGGCATAATCATGTTGATTCTTCATTTAAAGAAGTCCTCTTGATGTATGCGGTAGCAGCAAATAACCTATTTACATGGACTGTGCGGTTATGTCTGATGGGTGTGATCGAGCCTAAACATTCGATTTATCCAGCTACAAAACCCAATAACACGGGGACCCAAAAATACACGCGTGCGTGCACATACACATATATTTCTAGGATAAACAATGTTCTAAATGCTGTTGTGAAGTAACCTATAGCAAGGAACATTATAAGAGTTTTATTTTTTTTTTGATAAGTAAGGAACATTATAAGAGTTTTAAGTGCAAGAATGTAATAAAATTGAATATCTGGCATGTACAACACTGAACATACCCACGTTGCATAGTGTTCTACACAAGTATTTCAATTATTTAAAAGAGTCTATGAAAGATTAACCAAAGTTGGATAACTCGCCAAAAGTAGATGGGATTCAAAGTTCTAAATAATAGGGAAATAAACTGTATGCAAACTGTGATTAAGCTTTATGCAGCAGTGGATAATTGATGTCACGACAATACTACCAATAGCTAAGATTTCAACGGTGAATTGATTTGTACTATTTGATGCAAGACCCACGAAGAATATGGCAGGGAGTTTGTCTTGGTAGATTTTGTGCTAATAGGAGTTCTTTATGAAACTTGCAGCAATTTTTCATTTTAGAGCTTTAAGGGTTTCAGGAAGACTGTTCAAGAATTTATGTCATATTAGGTAGGATGTGTTTTACATTTACTTGCTCTTATGCTATGGTTGGAAGGAAGGATTGAAGAGGGATGGATAGGAGGGGGGGTAGATGATGCTTCTCATGTTTGGTTGGAGGTAAGGGAAGGGAGGGAGGAAGCAAAGAGGGATGAAGCATCCCTCCTAACCTGTTGTTTTTTTATCCGCCCAAAACTGGGGAAAGAGAGGAGCAAAAGAAAGAATAATTAACCCAAAAAAAGGTAATACAATTTTAATCTTTAGTTATTTACTAAATAACTTTAAAAAACCTACTGAAATTCTCTCATCAGACATAATGAGGTAAAAAAATGTATAAAAACTTTCAATCCCTTCCTTCCAACCAAACAAAAAAAAAAATGTGTGACACCCCATCCATCCTTTCTACCATCCCTTCCATTCAACCAAACAAGAAGTTAGGGAGGCACCTACCCTTCTCCAGGGATGTCCCATCCATCCATCCCTCCCCCTCTCCCTTCCATCCAAGTTTCCATTCTTCCAACCAAATAGAGCATTAAATCTAGCTCTAAATCCTACAAATAGACCTTCTGGTTGTAAAATGTGGCAGCTATGAGGAAAACACTATAGTTAGGAAGGGATCTATACGCTTAACTGATGTGGGGTAGTTGATTCCGGACCCATGGAGCAGAATGGGGGAGTTAGTCAATTTTAGTAGATTTTGTGATATTAGGAGTTCTTTACAATACTTGCTGCAATTTTCAACTTTATGAGCTTTAAAGGTTTTATAAATGATATTTAGCATTTTGTATGTAACAGGTAACCATATTGGGTAACATATGCTTTTGGTTACTACCACTTAGGTTTTGGGTCTTCTAAAGCCTATAAGTAGGCCTTACGGTTGTAAACCGTGGAATCTCCCTTGAGGTTGTTATACATTAATAGGCCTTATGTGGGGCCTATAGTCACGACCAGTGATGGGTCTAATTACACAGCTCACATCTGCCAGGGGTAACAAAATTAAGATAATCTAGAAAGTTTCTTTGACTTGGAGCCTTTGAACAAAGTCTTTTTTTCTTCATGTGTTTGTGTTGTTAAATTTTCTGCCTCTAGCATACTTACCATGCACAATGGGCTTGCCCTTTTCGTTAATAGTAATACAATGCATTCACTTGCCACAATGAAGACCATCCAACAAAGTTGATACCTATTTGAAATTCCAGTACATATATCTTATATATCCATGACATGTCATGCTGCAACAAGTTAGCTGGTAAGGCAAAGGACAATGGTAGAAATACAACCAGCTATCAGATAAGTTTTCTTTTTTTTTCTTTTTTTTTGTACTGGAATAAACTACAAAATGTTGTCCTTGACCAATCAATATAAGTTTGATAAAAATAAAACTGTTGAAGTGAGAAGAAAAGGGGCAGGTGTGCCCAACTAGTATACAAACTATGGTTGGATATGCATCTACAATATTTCAAATTTATTATATTAAACACTCTTATTACATTCTTTTGTTACACTATTGCTTCAAACAAGTGAAAACATTATTATACTACTGTAGAAAATAAATGATATGAATATTTATCGTGTGTGTCCTTGAGTTTAAAGGTTTGATAAATCAATGCTTAGACACATGTGCACCCGAAACATGTATTGAATCCATTAACAAATATGATTACATATAGGCTTGGTTAAAAATTGACAAAGTAGTAGAGAAGTCAGGTCTGCCAACTAGTCAATGCTGTTCAGAAAGAATATGACAAGGTCATGTTACATAAAAGATGAAAAGTACTAGCCATTACCCGTCATACCTTCAGCTTGAGTTTTTTCGCTCTTTTGGACACATGACGCTGAGAAAGCTCTCTACTTTGCTGATCCTGATAATAACAAATAATAATGCAAAAATAAAAAAATAAAAAAAAGGGAGAACAAAGGGAGATTATACCAACATATTTCATATGAAGAATTAGTATAATGAGAAGAAGAAGAAAATATGTGGATTACTATAAAGAAAAAGCAACAGAAAAAATCATTAACAGGTATGAAATTATTGAACTTCAAACACAAATTAAGGTCAACTCAAGAGAGCTGCCTCAAAAAAGCCGCCTAAAAAATGCCGAAAGAGATGTTACCATGGATGCTTCTCCTAGATCCACATGGGTCAGTACACCTTATCATTACAAGTTTCTAATCATACCAATCAACTAGTAAGTCCCGCATTGTATTCTACACTTCTAGTATTAAGATGTCAATTGGAATTGTTGCTTGAAGTATTTTGCAGCATTCTGTAAATATTACGGATTTTTGTGGTTTATGGTTTATGAATAGATTTTAACCTTATATGTCAATATAGGGAACACGAAGAGTTTGTTACAAAAATTAATAATATGTCTAAACATACCAATTATTATACAACAAAATCATAATAGTAACACAAGGCAATAAAGGGAACACGAAGAGTTTGTTACAAAAATTAATAATATGTCTAAAGATACCAATTATTATACAACAAAATCATAATAGTAACACAAGGCAATAAAAATAGTTATACTAACACATAAAATTATAAATAAAGTTAATAAAAATATTAAATTCCATTTAAATATACAAGTATAGCAAACCATTGGTAATAAAATATTAAATTCAAGTATAAGCCCGTTAACTTATCAAAAAATATATATATAGCAGCCCATTAGGTCCCCAAAGGCCAACCTGGACATGACCCATCTATAATGGATTGGAGGAGGTCTATAATGGATTGGACGAGGGCAACCAAATCCAAACATTCAAATAAGCAGGTAAAAACCTCAACACAAACGGCTACAGGTCAGGTCCAAAATTGCTGTCCCTATGCAATTCTTAAAGCCTTAAACATGGTAGTGGTTGACTAGGCTTATTCTAATGGCAAATACCATATAAACACACAGGCATAAGAAATTCATCAAACCATATTTAGAAGGTATATAGGGAAAATATAAAAATAAACAAAAACATGTGTGAAAATACAATAACAAGAAAAAAGATTCACAATAGTTTGGCAACAGGAGAAACCTGAATGATAGAGAAAAGGCGAAAGGCCCGATCTTGGCCAGCAGATAGAATGTGTCTCCCATTGGCATAGAACCTGTAAGAATGAGTAATTCAAAGATATTCATGACGATATGTGCAAAAGCTTCGTGAACAAAATTTTAACATTGGTGACTGCATAAGCCATGAAGAGATGAAGAGGAGAATGGAGAACCTTCATTGTTGGATATGGAGCCATATGGAAGCACAAAAAATACACTATCGATTGGATGTTAGAAAGAGCTCAAAAGATGGTAATGTAGTGTGTTGTGCACCAAATTAATAGGTCAAGCATTGTGAATTTAAGGCACTTTTTGTTTTTCTATAAAATTTATCACATGAAGATATGCATGGTTCCACAGGTTTTCAAAAATCATACTAATACTTGATAGTGGAATTTGATTCATCAAGGTCACCACTTGATCATGTCTACACGAAGATTTAATGAAACAAAAAATCAAAGCAAACATAAAGCAGAATCACCTTATGCAAAGTGGAGGAGCACTATGCCCACTTCGAAATCGTAGCAAACGAGGATCCCCATCACTTGTGTCAAAAATCCACATCTAATGAAAAACAGAAAAGTGAAGGAAAACACGGGGAAAAAAACACAAGTCAAAATTTATGTATGAACAAGATAAAAACCGAGAAATTTAAAAATGAAAAATGGAAATAGGGTAAACAGCAAAAAAAAAAAAAAAAGCCTTAACTATTAACTTTTTGCAAGCAATCCTTAGTAAAATAGAAAACCCACTAAACTATCAAAAGTTAGCAAATAAGGACAATTCGTTAAGTGTCCATTAATACACTTGAAATCAAAACTTGCCCTTGCACTAGGAAAAAATAAAAAAAAATAATGAAAGCGGCAAATAAAACATAATGAAAAGAACAAAAACATCAATCTGATATTGTCCCAAAATTATCCATTTTACTCAATTTCTCAGAACATTTTCTTTTAAGCACAATGAACCAACCACAATTTTGACCTTGATTTCTGCTTTTCATGAATAAATTGATACATGACTCCTTAAATTGTGGAGATTTTATTAAAGGTTCCAGGGAATGGATTTTGTTGGCACCCCTATTTTCGGGTCGTGAGTTGTGACAAATTTAATATTAATTTCAGTCAAGAAAAGAAAACAATAAGCGTACAATATCAACAGCACTTCAACCCAACCCATCAACCTCATCTTTGAAATGTTCTTCACATGACTGGTTTGCATTTTTCAGGTCAGCTAATGTAAAGTCAAATGCTTTAGTAAAAAAGGTTGCATTCATGAGGGAAGGATTTAAGTTTTAACTACAATCCATGCTTATTTAACTATCATGTGCCTCTGGTGGTGTTCATGTAATATGCATATCGTGATTTCCTTCCCTTTTTTATTTTTATCCATTTCTAATCTACAAAAATTAACAATTGGCTTGTCTAGTTAAGAAGTTTGTATGCGATGAAAGTAATAAATTCCTGTACCATAAAGATTTGGCGGTGACAAAAATACATTGACCAGATAGTGTCTCTCAGGCATACTTTGCACGATCCAACTGCAAATGAAGTATATTAGAGCAAAAGAAAAGGGCAATTAAACCTAGAAAATCTATTAAAAAAGGGACCCTTCTGGAAGCCAATAGAACAGGGAGTCAAGGAGCTAACCATCAATAAGCTTAAACCTATACCTCCACCAGGTCCACTCCTTCAGAAGATTGCTCCCAATTCCCATCAAACTCTCCACATCAAGCACGTGGGCATTGCTGCCAGACAAAGTATTATTAACACATCTCAGTTGCTAGCTGTTTAAAGCCTCAAAAACCTATTTCAGCATGACCACTGAATCCCAAAAGAGAGAAAGAAGAGAATACAGGTCTATAGCCACCAAGCACTGCAACAAATATCTCCACTCTCTTTGTCATGCAACAACTTACACAACTTCTTGCCCTGACTCAGGGAGTTGCCAATAGTCAATATCTTCCCCAAAGCAATTGCTGAACTAGAAAAGCCGCCTTAATTGCCACTTTAGCACATCGGCTATCCCTCCAAGAGAACAAGCACCCTCATTACAACACACTACCACATATTGTAATCCCACTCCAAACTTGCCATTGTTTAAGGCCTTCCACCTCAAAGCATCCTACCTATCACCTAAAGTAGATGTACCAACCAAAAGTCTATATACATCTGCACTGCCTCCTACTTCCTATCATGCACAATCTTAACACCAAATCTCCGAGAACTCTTTCTAGGAAAATACTCATAAAATCCCACCACTCCTAGTACCTTTCCAAAGAACTACCCTCATTTGAGGTCCAATTACCCCGCACTCCCATATTTCCACTCCACCATCCTCCTCTTCCTCTTCCATCCTCAGCACATCTCTCCAACATCACTTTTCCAACAGAGCTTCGTTGAACAACCCAGCTTATCGAAAAAAAAATCCACCATATTGCCAATCCAATCGGAGTACATACGACATGCTAATGCACCAGGTCCATATGGCCAAGGGACAAAAGCTTTCCCAAGGAAGATGAGTGACCAGGTATAAAAAGTTTATTTGCATGTTAAAAGAGGGTCTAACATACTAATGAGACGAACACTAAAAACCATTAGGAGAAGGGTCTCGTGACTTAGGCAAGCATGGAAACTAATGTGTCAATATTGTTGAATTGCATCTGATATTTCCCTACTCTTCCTTTCTTTTATAATTCCCTTCCATATTGTAATTGATATTTTCTTCAACCTAGGAAGGTAATATGTCAATACATAATAACTTAATCCAAATCATTTTTGTTCCCTTCGTATGCATTATGAATATATATATAGGTTCTATTCCCTTTCTTAATATATATATATATATATATATAGAGAGAGAGAGAGAGGTTGCATCCCCTTATTACCAATCAAAATAAAATACAATGTAATGTTTATGATTATTCCATCTACTTGATTTGACAACACATATAACCCCCAAAAAAAAAAATGATAGATCTAAAGACTAGTATAAAATGCAACAAAAAGCCACTCAAATAACATAAACTTTATCTTACTTTTATTGAGTTGTCTGTAGATGAACTCATTAGCACAGGCTCATTGGCAAAGAAGTGCAGTGAAATTATGGATGTATCATGAGCCTCTCTGATGATTGACTGAAGCCTCCTTTTCTCAAGATTCCAAATGCTTATGACACCAGATGAACCACCGGATGCTAAAAGGGGCTGTCCATCTAAATAGGCAAAAGAAATAATGTTCAAGTGCAAGTAGCTCAATAAATTAAAATTGCACACATCCTTTTAAACATTCAAAACACATTTCACTTTAAACATATAAGTATTCAGATATAGATTCCACTGCAACTTCTTCCCTTCGAAGAATGAACATAATAATGACTTGAAATACAGTAATATGTAATCCATTCTAAAACTACAATAAAAACTGGAAACAAGAAATGGATGAAACTCCATAATATTGCTGAGATAGTATTCCAACAATAACACTAGTTGACTGATGAGTCAACAATTATATAATAAATGTTCGATAACTGAAATGGCACCATCTATCTACTCGAGGAGGTATATCATCTTCCTCTTTTTAATATATCCAGAATCTCTACACTATCAGAGCTTCAAGTACCTGGGACTACTCAATTGCAGTCGAATTGAGTAAGAAATAAAGCTTCATTTAAGAAAACAAATATAAGCATGTTACATGTACCTGAATTACTGTCAATTCAGGTAACCAGATATTCAAATCCAAGACGTTATTCACATTAGAAACTAAACGGGCACTTATGTTCATAGAACAAAGAAATTAAACTATAGCGAAGAGAAATGTAATCATTTTTTAGTAATAATGTGTCATAGTGACAAATTTTCCCATTAACAAATAATTACCCTTGATTTTATCCCCAAAAGGGGAATGCTGGATATGAGAAAGGTGAAAAACCTTCATCCAAAAATCAATTATACTATATTTGACAGCACCACATAATAACATAGGTGGAACACACTCTTATAAAATCTGAAGCACCAAATTCTTACCAGTGCTGAAAGACAAGGCAGTCACAGCACCTCGAGTAGAATGTGTAAATGTAACTATCTCCTCATCATAACGAATATTGTGAACATGAATCTTTCCATCAGCACAGCCAACCGCAACAACATCCAGTGCTGGTGACGAAACACAACAGCATATAGATGATTCCCAGCCTTTAAATTCATAAAGTTTTTTCTTTGTGCTAACATTCCAAAGTTGCAGAGAACCATCCTGACTCCCAAGAATAACCTGTTTATATGCTTCTCAATGAGAAAAAGGTTTCCTAAATCAAACGTGAAAAGGAACACTGACAGGCCTATATTACTCTATACCATTCTCACCAAAACTTCCTAAAAACAAAAGCTAACCAATTACCTTGTTTAAGTATGTATCTGGATGCATTATACAGCTAGGACCAAATTTGTCTTCTAGCAAAATGTGTCCAGTTGGAGCAATATTTTCTTCAGTTCCTTTAAAGGCCCAAATGAAGATATTGCCATCAGCATCCACACTTAGGATGTGTTCTCCAAACAGAAGCAACAGGTTGACCTTAGCATTATGTCTGCTCCAAGTTGCCACCTGTTCAAATATAATCGTTATTTGTTTCCTCGTTTTGTAGAATATCAACCACGTGTAATACATAAAATATAATTTAATTGATGGAACAACCAAACGGATCTCCTATGTCATAAACAATTTGCAATGAGAATGTTACGAACAATTTTGTTGAATTAAAAATATTTCGGTAAATATATGGGGCGAAAAAAAATAAGAAAGAAAGAGAGAGCATAAGAAATGTCGATACTTTTTTATACTAAAAAGGGGAAGGGGGTGGTTATCTTTTTTACGTATCAAAAAAGACACTCTCCCCATTCCCCCTTTTTCTCCTCGCTTCTTCCAGGCCACCCACGCCAAAATAACCCCCCTTAACAACAATTATAACAAATGCAATGCACCTTGACCAGATTGCAGATTTCCACGAGAGATTAACTTGAAATTTTTTAAATAACATCAATCATTACATCAGTTAATAATGAATAAAAGAAACAAAAACACACATTTTGCTTCCTCCATAGCTCAGCAAAACATGTAAAAACAAGTACAGAGGAAATCGAGAACTCCGAAAAAGTGAAACATAAAGCAGAAAAGGAACCATAAATCATGGAAGAAAATCAAAATAATGAACCCAAAGATATATTTACTCCTTCAGGCAGAAACATAAAGAAATCTCATGATCTGAAAACAAGAGGTGCTGCACGGGGAGTCTCCAAACCCCAAGATCTAGAACCAGGAACATACACGTGTGTGTGTGTGTGTGTGTGAATTCGCCAGCATAACACATAGAACAATCACCATCCATTGATTTTCATTCATTCCAAATCAAATAGTCATCCTCGACATTAAAAAAAAATGCTACCCGTGATATAACCACTGTATAACATGTAAACCAGAGGATCTATGCAGCTTTAATTTTGAACCTATTACAATTTTCTAAGAATTTGGCCCCAGAACAGCAGGCCTAATACACAATGTGCACATTTCAGTTTCCTTTGCCCAAAATCGCATTTGATGCATTAAAAATGTGCTGTTAGGTATAGTTAAACATTAATAACCATAGACCAAGAATCTATAATGTCTACAAAGTGGCCTTCCAGTGACAAACCTGATGAGCACGCTTAAAAACTGCAATATTAGTCCCAAATGCAGCAAAAGTATAGTCACGATAGGAAGCAAGAGCTCGTATCTTCTTCGGCAGTTGAGGACCTTCATCGAAAGTTTTCCACATTAGAGTAGATAATTGACCATATCAAACAAGACGCAATGAAAATAAAGCCAGAAATCCACTATAATCCAATAACTCAATCTAACACTAAAACTACCAGAAATACAAAATTCTTTGAAATTTATTGAATGTTCATCAACATGCTATAAAGATGCTAAATTTTTAAGTATAGAAAATTGCGAATCCATACCAACAAGCACCAAATTGAGCTTCGCACACTGCAAGACGCGAAGATTGAGCATGTTATTAATCCACTTTATACTAGAAATACAAATTCGCAAATTAAGCAAAAAATAAAAAATAAAAAATAAAAATAAAAATAAAAATAAACAGAAAATGAAGAGGAATATCTGAGGGAATAGAATGTTACACTGTAAATCTGCCAAGATTTGCCGATACTGACAGTGACGAAGGTCTCGGTTCCCAATCTCTGAACAGAGAAAGGAACACTGCTTGTTATGTATCCAATAGCCCGAAACGGTTCAAATATTCCCATTCTTTTCGATTTTGTTATTGATAGATAGATAGATAAGGAGAGATGGGAAGTCACAGTGTTTCAGCTCTAGGGTTTTGCAGTTTAATAATAGGGTTTAAGACAGCAAGCTGACGAAGAAAGGAATGGTGGTTTTTTTTCTAGGGTTGGTAAGTACTACTCCATCAACCCGCCCAAACCCTGCCCACTACTTGGTGGATTTGGGTCCTCTATTTTATGCTGCGGGTCAAAAATAAGTCTGAAACAACCCATTTTCAACCCGTTTCTCTCTCGCGGCACTCTCTTTCTATCTTCTCTATCTCTTTATCGCGGCGTTGTCTCTCTCTCAACCCATTTACAACTCCTTCAACACGTAGAACCCAAATTTGTTTCTTAAGTGTTGGTTTAAGATGATTGTGGATCAGGACGAATTCGGGTCAAAGTTGATATTTTAAAGTTCGGAAAAAGAAAGGAAAAAAAAAAATTAGTCTTAAAAAAGTTTTAATAGCATTTAGAGAGAGAGAGAGAGAAAAAAAATACATTTTAACCCATGGTCTATGAAAAACGGGTCCTATTGTGGCAAACTGGGTTTGGATTCTTTTATACGAGTTGGGTCTTATAGCAAATTAATCCTGAGTTTAGGTAAATAGAATTTCAGTAAAAGCTGATATCTTAAATTTTCCAAAAAGAAAAAAGTTATCGAAATATTTAAAAAGACGGAAAAAAAAAAAATACTCACCAAGTCATTTATGAAAACGGATCAGGGTCCGTTTTGTATTCTAAAGTAAAGGAAGAAAAAAAAAAAAAAAAAAAAAAGTTTCCTTAAAAAGTTTTAGAAGCATTTAGAGGGAGAGAGAAAAAAATTTATTAACCCTTATCATTTATGAAAATGGGTTGGATTCTAATAAACGGGTTTGGTCTTTTAAACAGGTCAGTCCTATGCCAACTTGAATTTATAGCTACAATTTACATATATATATATATATATATATATATATATATATATATATAGATTTAAAGAATTTTGAATAGAAGTGGGATACCTGAAGCAAGTTTGATGAATATGTTTTGATCAGTGGAAATGTGTGAAAGCAAGGGCGCTTTCAAGAATTGTTAAAGGGGTGGGTTAAAAAAAATTTGGGTAGGCTAATACTAATAATAATTTTTTTTTTTTTTTTTGCTGGGCTAAAATTACGTATAATAATTATTAAAAAAAAATTGTGGTTCAAACCGGGCCTTTTTTTTTTTTCTTTTCTTTCTTAAAACACATATATCGACCTCACAATATATTTGCCAAGCCTTTTTTTGATAGCTTAGTATAATTCCTACTTTTGTTTTTAACATTTAGAAGAAATTCATACACTCGTTACAACTATATCCTTCCTTTCCGGGGACCGAAATCCTGAACCTTTTACTTTAAAAAGTAATGACCTATCACGAGATTACAAAGACCTTAAGTCATCAATCTTCTACTTTTGAAAGATGATAAAAATATCATTAGACTATAATACCGTTAATTTTTTAAACTAAAAAAAAAAAACTGGTTAATCTAATTTAAAAAATAAAGTACAGAAGAGAGTGAAATTTTTTATGAAGTACAAATTTGATTGGCTATATTTTCTAGTAATTGATATAGCATCTAAAATTTTCTCCCTAATATTTTAATTTGTAATAGTTTCTAAATTAAGGGAAGACATGGGATCCACGCGCTATACTGAGCGCGTGTGTCATACCATTACCACGATACCGTTCTTTGCCCGCTACCCGCCAGCGCCACAAATTGATCAAGAAAGGAAGGGCCCACCAAAGACATAAACCTTAATGGGGCACACTTCGCACATCTCCGCAACAAAAAGCTCATTGACACCTTTCAAAAAAAAAAAAAAAAGCTCATTGATTTCACAAACAAACAAAAAAAAAAAAAAAAATCTCTCTCTACAATGGCTCTGTTTACTTCAACCTCAGCTACTCCACTCTCCCCATTCCTATATACCAATCGTCCTCCAAGAAATCACAAACGTTTTCCCCCTTCATTTGCTTCAATAATCTCATCATCATCTCCTGAATCATCAGCACCATCATCTTCATCCCCAAAAGAAACTATTAATGTTTCCTCAAAACCTCCATCAAAACCCTTTGTTGAATCCGATAGACACAGAGAGAAGGGATTCAATTACGCTCTAGCAAACCCTAGTGGCAACCCGGCTGCTCGGTTTTTCCGGGCCACTGAATCTTCCATTGAAAGGGTAAATTTTGTTACTTGCTTGCCCAAAAATTGCCTCATAAAATTGTCTATTGAAAACTACAGTATTAGTTAATTGAATTGATTTGCTTCTGTTATTGATACCAAAAAAGGCAACTTTAGATTGATAAGCAGCTACCCACTTGCATGAACTATTTTCAATCAATTGAAATATAATGTTTTGGTCTGTGCAAGATTGTTCCTGAAGTTTGGGGAGCTGCTATTAGGGTTGCAGTTTAGATGCTAAACATAATTTTTAAGCATGAAATTATTGAAAATTAGCAAAAATGATAAGCGGACTCAAAACTGCCCTGCATCGCAGAAATGAAAATGGTGCGTGAAACTAGATTTGCATAAAAATGCTGGACAAGAAATCTTTTTTCAAGTTGCAGTTCTAGGTGTGTTTCCTTTTGTGTCTGTGTTTGTATATAAATGAATTTAGTAATAAAATCAAGGATTTGAATTTTGATGAATTATATATAATATATTTTTGGACAGAATAATGGTTTAGAATTATGGATGAGTAACATGACTTGTATGATGACTAACCAGGATAACATAGTTTTTGTTTCCTCATTTGCATTCTATAAGAATATTTTTATAAAGATTATTGTTCTTTATGATTGTTCTTGGTGTTTTCCTAATTGGTATCACACTTATCTTTGTTTTATTCATTATAATAGGGTATATTAAATCTGGAATTTTCCTATATCCATGAGATGTCTACAAGTATAGTCTGATCCAATGATTATTTATTGTCCTTCACTGAGCAGGTGATATTTGACTTCCGCTTTTTGGCACTTCTGGCTGTTGGGGGCTCATTGGCTGGTTCCTTGCTGTGCTTTTTAAATGTAATTTCTCCTTATATCCACTTCTTTTTCTTTTTTACAGGATATATCTATATATATATATATAAATGTATGTATGTATGTGCTTATATTATGTATATTACACAGGCAAAAAGAAAGCCTATTCATCTTGTTTCTGAAGATGAACTCTGTCTTATCAGTTATTCTCTGCATTTTTTTTTTTTTGTAGTTGAACTTTATGTGATGATGATGATGATGGTTAAAATTCATCAAAGAATTTCTTATAGCTTGTTCAGTGGATGTGGTGTTGTTCAGGACATGGTACACTATATTCATATGATCTCTAGAGAGTTTTACTTTTACTTTTTAGATTGCACTGAAGATTTTTAACCGTCTTTGGGTAACTGGTGATCTCACTGATCTGAGAGGTGTTACTCCAACGAAGGTTGGCAATTACTTTTTGGTTGACTATCTATGATCAAATTGTAGAGCTTGATTCAATGTTCGAAGTTGTTAGACTGATGGTCATACACTTCTAAAATATTAATCATCTGCTTGGTCTGTTCAACGTGGGAGGCCAACATGCCCACTCACATGTCGCTTTCTTTTGGTCCAACACATTATTCAATTTTAATTATCGGAGTAACAGTGAGCTTTGAATTCGAGACTTTTTGGCTATGATTCCATTACTCTAAAAGTTTAAGTTGTTAGAGAGGGTGTAACTTTAATCTTTAAATCCTTTCACACGTCCCCTCATGCGTGACCTTTTTATAAGCTACTCCACTGAGCATGGGAAAATGGCATTGCAGGAAGGTTTGTTTCCAGGAATAGTTTCAGCATCTTTTTATGAATTGTGATAGTCAAATATTTATAAAATAAATAAATTTCCTCGTTTTTCTAATAAGTATGAACAGATTTTTCTAAATTTAATGTATCTTTATCCATTCTTTGAAAGGAAAATATTAGATCTGTTAATGTCAGGATACTCCTGTTGTTTCATCAAGCCAGATGTTAGATTAATTTGAGCAACATATTGTTATCATCTGCATGCTACAATATATTAGTTCCAGGGCAAACATTGAACAAGCAGAAAAGGTATAATTTGTCACTGAGAACTTATTATATTGGGAATTGGGCACTAAGTTAGTACTCCAAATTTTCTGTCATGAAAATTTATTGTTAGGTTCCCAGTTCCCACACGAGAAAAGATCTTACCCCCGTTTTCATATGTTCCAGAAACTTAAATCATTTGGCTGTTTATATTATTATTTATTAGATACTATGTTTCTAGTTGACTAAATATAATGTAGTGTTCTGTCCTTCTCATCATAAGGATTATGTTATGTTTACTTAACAACACAGGTAATACTTAGCATTTCCGTCTTGTTTCAGTTGAAAAAATATCCTTTGGTTTTTCAAGTTATTTATAAGATCGTAAATATCGTGATCTTGTTTTTGCCTTTTGGAGAGGCCACAAAGCGAACATATGAGCTAGCGGTTCAGGCTAAGTGGAATAATATATATATATTTTTTATATGAACTTTTATATATGTGCATGTGCATGTGTTTTTGCAATTGTAACTTGGCTTGTTTCTGTTCAAACTGACTGCTTTAGATCTTTGTAGGGTTGTGTCTACATTGTTGATGCCTATAAAGTTTACTGGGGTAGTTGTGTCAAAGGAATCCACACAGGAAAGATGGTTCTACGACTAGTTGAAGCTATTGGTGAGGTTTCTGGAACTTTCAATCTTTTGTAGTATATAGAATTCTTGCCTCAAAGATACAAAAATGAAATGGGAATATAATCATATCTGTGACTAGGTATAACATGCCAAAATAGTACAAAACTACAAATCAGTCAACCCAAGAAAGATTCTCCAAATGCAAACTATTAAAGGGTTCTTGATACTCCTCAACCAAAAAATTAATTCCACAGAAGTTACATGCCCTATGATATATATTTTTTTGGGGGAGCTTTTGTTTCTTTATGTAATGGATTTTCTTTTTCCATGGAGATTGCATATATGTTTTTTCTCTTAAGTTTCTTTCCATTGAAGTTACTCCTTTCTGGTCATTACAACCTTGGTAATGAGTGTTGATAACTCCATCTTACTTTTCCTAGCATTGCAGCTTTCAATTACTGATGTAATGTTGAATTTGCATCTTGATGCAGATGTGTATCTTGCTGGAACTGTCATGTTAATATTTGGTATGGGCTTATATGGATTATTTATCAGTAATGTGCCTTACGATGTACCTTCCACGAGTGACCGCGCACTCAAAGGGTCTTCCTTATTTGGAATGTTCGCTTTGAAGGTAGTATGGCTTTGTCTTAACGAATTACATTTCTTCCGCTTTGATGTCAGCATTTCCCTGCCTCATAATTCTCGAGGGATTCCATCTTACTTTAAATCTTGGTTATTGACTTCCATTTAAACTTAAACTTCATATGTTGATATATTAGGATGCGAGCATCCTACATATGATTTGAACTAGAATCGTAGATGACTTACCCAAGGCTGTGTCACTGGATGAAAGTAATAGTTGGTGATGGATGTTTACTTCATCTGACTTCTTAAACCTTAAGATGGAGCATGTGTAAAGGTCAATTCCAGTCACTAGAGGTAGCCACCTTCTCACTTGAATATTAGAAAAACAACGAGGAAACGTGGAAACCATCCCTACATGGTCCTTGTTAGTTAAGGACTAGGTTTTGGTGCTCCCATGAAAACAATTAGACCTCCATAGCAAAAATGTGCCAGTGCCTGGTGTACAAATTTTCAGTTAGTTGACAACATTTTCTCTTTCCATTTGAGTACTTAAATCCTATTCCAATGACTAAAATATTCTTATGGCCTTGTAGGAGAGGCCTAAATGGATGAAAATCAGCTCACTTGATGAACTAAAGACGAAAGTGGGGCATGTTATCGTCATGATTCTTCTGGTAAAGATGTTTGAGAGGAGCAAGATGGTGACAATAGCCACTGGTTTGGATCTACTTAGCTATTCCGTATGTATTTTCTTATCTTCTGCTTCCTTGTACATACTTCATAATCTTCACAAGTCGGATTAAAATTGTCCATAAGAAGCAGTATAATGCCAGAATTTTTGTTGCCAAACAATGTTAACATTAGTTTACAGCTTCAATACAGCTGAATGTTCATGTACCAGGAAGTCACTTGTTTTTTGAGGTCATCCAGTACTCTTCTTACATTTCTTCTTATTTCCAAACTACTTATTAAGCATTCTGAGTGTTGAAATTACTTCATTTCCATACTTTTTTTTGGCCTTGAAATGTTCTGTTTTGTGGGTAAGGTCCCAGTTTCAAGTTGTTGCTACAGCACTAAATTTCCACTTTTTGAGTTGACAAAAAAATAACTCACACTTTTTTGTGCATGTCGACAACCTTCCATGGTGGTAATGAGATGGTGAGACATCATGTAATACTCAAGGCTATATTATATTCATAGAGGTCAACAATCTACACTGAAATGGCTATCCTTTATTTATTTTTATTTTTTTTGGAGTATCACTGAACTGGCCATTTTGATCAAACATTTGGGAAATTTGATCTTTTTAATTATTTTAGCTTCTGCTAAATTTGGTGAAAATTTTAACAATCAATCTTGGAATTTGCGACGAAGACTTATCCGGTGGACTAAGGCTTCATGCTTGCACTGAAACAATGATAGTTAGCCAATGAAAGAGGGTAAATTGTAAAGAAGCAAACAGAATTGTCATTTGCCACATTTTTGAGGCCTAAGTAGGGCAAATCAGCTACCGCCAGCAAGAAAGTCACCATATTAATTTCTACTCTACCTCCCGGCAGTTCATTTTCTGGGGAATTCTGTTTAAATTATTCCGGTGGGTACCGTCCAGTAGACAATTTTAGCTAGAGACCAGTCTAATTTGTCTGCATTTGCAATTGCTCAGTATTGCAATTACCAGTTCAAAACACATTTAAATAATGACTTCAAAATGTAGTGGCATTGAAAAACAGATTCATTTGACCATAGTGTTCATGTCAAAGAATATCAATACCAGTAACAAGTCCACAACAACTATTATACACATTAAAGAGTGATACTTAAATTATGAAGAAATAAGGAGAGACCCTGTTCCTGCTTTGGTCTTTCCCAAACTAGTAACTGGACCATGTAAACTACCACCCACCAACTAGTTAGGCGAATTAGCATTACTAAAAGGAAAATGCATTATATAAAACATGCTATTCATTACAGAACAAGGAAGAAGGTCTTACAAAACATGCAAAGCGCCATTTATGGCATTGTGCGATTCCAATAATAAAAACATGCCGACATAGTTCAATAGACTATTGCAGAATAGGTGTAAAAAATGTTTCACAATTTTGTTTACCAATAAACACGAATGAGAAATATTTACACAAAAAACACACTTCCAGAATGTCTACCATACTAGTCTTCCGCAATTTTGACGTTGATTTTGGCGGACTCTCTCTTGAAAGTTAGATCAATGAATCCATCCATTAAGTCCGTCGTGAAATCTCAAGTGTGTGCTTCTCTATTGCAGAGCATGTGGAGGAGCTCCTCTACGTGTTTCTCCATCAGCTGTTTCCCCAACAATGGCAATCTATGAGTTTGAGTCAAGTTGCGCTATTGAAATAGTGAATCTTAATGCACTGTGTGAATAAAAGAAACAAGGAAAAGTTGGTGAGAGCATACCTATGAAGATTCCGAGTCACAAAACAGCATTCCCGTTCTTGACTCACCATACTTGTGTTTGGATGCATTTCTCCAGCCTTTGCCTCGTGAGCTGAAAAAACATATTACCAACCCTGCAGCAAGTAAACAAACAATGTCATGACCACTCAGAATATCAGAAGTCTAGCTTGAGAACTAGGAAAATCACTCACATAAACAGATAAAAGAAGACACCAAGTTGTTCAATCATTTCAAGCACGATTCAAAACAATCTCTCATGATAAAGTGTCTTACATGTAATCGATAATCATTGGCTTATATTCCCTCTCTGGATTGAATATCCCTGCTTGGCAGAGAAACCCAATGCTTCCTTCCCGCTCGAACTCCTGACCTCCCTTTGAAAAGTAGGAGCCTGGTATCGCCGAAATTAAGTCTTAATATAATGCTAAGTCTTAGTATAATGCTGGCACTTTATAATATGAAATAGAAAAACCGGTAATATAATGCGAAGTCATAGGTGCCTATTCATAATATGAAATAGAAAGACAAAAGAGTCGTAGAGAAAAACCTGTAATGTCATGCAACCTCAAATGGTCACTGCTTGTTCTATGGAAATTGGGGGCTCTGTTTCTCTCAAGAATGTGTCTCAAAGTTGAAACATCCATGTCAACTTGTGCGATTTCATTATGGGATGATAATTACTGTAACTCCTGCTTAATATGCCGTTGCCCTCTGGCCCTCTGCAACTTTTGGCACCATCTGACACATGTTACCCTACACACGACAGGCTAAACCATGCATTCACTCATTACAAGCTTATTTATCTTCAAAAACATATTCTCACAAAAATATTGTCATTTTTTAGGAAAAATATTTTTTTTATTTGTACTTTTCGGTGTTTGGCAAAGGTCTAGGTCGAGTTCTTGGGGCGGGACGTATAACTTACCAAAAATTGATCCATAGATTATTTTTATTAAATTTTAATATATTTTGTCTTCGTAAATATTTCACGACAACCAAACACCAGAAAATAAAAAAAATATTTTACATCCAAACAAACGGAGTCTAAATGTCAAAAAAGAAGGGAAATTCGGAAGGAAATAAGCCAACATTTATCAGGTGAATTTCACAATTAAATAATTTGATTTCTGAAAACCTTCCAAACCAACATGGCTGCAAATGGTGACAACCTGGTTAAGGAAACAACATGGAGGCATTTTAAGAATTACCGTTAGCAGTAGTAAAATCTGGAGTTGATTGCTTCATAAGTTCATAAAAGTATAGAAACAAGTAAATGGCATAAAAAAGTAACCAGACAAACCAATGGGATTTTTTGGTCATAGGTGTTATTATATATTCATGGATAAATACTAAAAAGATTCAAGAGATTAAAAACATCCCATTCCTAGCACATCATATTTGGGTTCGACACACCTTTATCCCTTGCCTGGTGGGCTGATAGAACAAACCTAGGCCCCATTAAAAAATAAAAATAAATTATGATTTAAAACCACTCAGCATATTGAACTCAAAATATTTCTTACCACACAAAGAAGGCACCAGGTGTTTCCAACTTCTCCCCCAGAAGGGGAAGGCTCATGGACCAGACAGCCATTATTTTGTTCAAGTGCAACTCAAACACAATTAGTTCAGTGATGCAGTGGCTTACACGTAATATGATAATCCTAAACTTGTTCGCTATGGCCTCGCTGTTAGCTTGTGGTTGTCTAATCCACCAGTAAACATATGTTGACCGGTTAAATTTCTTCAGCAATGCTTTTGGAATTGTTTCATGTGGCCCTCCTGCAAACAAGTTAAGATCAGGCACTCCTACTAAATCAAATTTGAGATGAAGTTATGAAAAATCATAAAATTCCTGTATAAGCCTCACTTTAGGTTCTTTGATATTCTTTCAATACCAAGGAGATTTGAATCACTGCTCCAACATTGGATGACTTGACTTGGTTAATTTGTCAATTTATTATGTAGCCATATAAAATATTTGCTTGAACAAAATAAGTCTCAAGTTATAATGGTGAAGCTTCTGTGCAATTTTCTGATACTTCAGGTGGAGTTTCTTCACATACATTAGAGCTTTAAGGAGAACAAAAATTTTATCTCCACTCAACAAAGTTTCTAATTTATTTATTTGGTCTGCTCTTGCTTGATGCTGAAGGAAAACATATTTACCTCCCCCACCAAACAAAGTTCTAATGTCAAATCACTCAGAATATTTAAAGGCGAGCTTGAGAACTAGGAAAATCATTCAAATAAGCACAATAAGAATACACCAGGTTTTTCAATTGTTTCCCCCAAAAATGAAGGCTCATTGACTAGACAAGCTAGCTATATAGTTAGTTGTAAAGCACAATCCAAAACAATCTGTTCATTTGTGAAGTGTCTTACCAGTAACCCGATCATCCTACACTTGTTTGCTATTGCCCTGGTAAAAGCTTCTCTCAACCACGACTAAACATAAGATCACAACTTATATTCCCTCTCTGGATTGAATTACCTTGCTCCACAGAGAAGCCCAATGCTTCCGTACTGCAACATGATCACAAAAAGGAGGGGGAGGGGGAGGGGGTTAAAAAGTTTAATAGAATTGCAGGCAGAATATGGATGAACAAAAAGAAAAAAATCAAGTATTGCGACTTTAATAACAATTACCAATATAGACAATAAATCCCCAGTAACCGCATAGGATTCTTTCTCTTGACTCTCCTCCATTGCACAAAATATTGTCTAGACTACTAATAGGCATCCCTACAGCCTTGGCTTGATATCAATATGAAAAAGGGTCTTAATCTGGAAAAAATAAAAATGAAATAAAATAAGCAAAAAAATCCCATGTTAAAGATCCACATGAATTATGATGAGTTCAGATCATCAAATAGTTTTGCATAGTTCAATGGAACTAAAAGATCATGCCCATTTCTGGGACATACAGGAATTGCCCAAGAAATAAATTAGATTTTGTAACCTGAATCAGGTCTTACAAGCTTAATCCTTTGCCTTGATCATGAGTACCAATAGAGACAATTAAGTCTCCACTAACTGCATAAAATCCTTTCTCCCGACTCTCCTCCATAGCAAAAAAAACATATTATCTAGACTACTAACATTCACCCTTACGGAACTTCATATCAATATGAAAGGTCGCAATCTGAAAAAGAAAAAAAAAAGAAAAAAAGAAATCAAAACTTTCTAGCAAGCAAGGTGAAAATCCTGTGTTAGGATGACCAAACAGTTTTGCATCATTTAATGGAGCTAAAGGATCATGGGCATTTCTGCAATGTACAGAAATGGCCAAAGAAATTAATCAGTATTAACTGTTAAATGGCAAGTAAGTACAAAGTTTTGTAATTCTTCTAATCAGTATTATAGACTGTAGTCTTCTTTTGTTAGTGCATAATGCCAGTAGGCACCGTCTATGGACCTAGTTTCATTATATCTTACAGGCAATTTGTCATAAGCAATGCATATTATAAAAACTGAAGCCAATATTGTATTAAGAAAAGCGATTAAGACTCTGCCTTAAATCAACAATCCTAATATTGCTCCCTCTTCGAGGTAACTATCCTAATATTTTTAATTAAGAGAATAATTCATTGTGTTAGATGGAATTTTCTTCACATAAGAGCAAAAAATTCAAAAATTTAGAGTTTTTAAGTAGAAAAAAAATGTAAAAATTTCACAAGTCGATTGATAGAAGTTATATATATATATAAAAAAAAAAGTTAAGCAAATAAGATGTCTCACCTTTGAGATTAAACAAATATGAATAGGAAGAAGAAGAAGACTGTAAAAATAATGCAATTATGTGCTCATCAAGCTGCCCCAGAGTACGTGCACAAACATAATATTTGACATTTCCTGAGAAGGTACAAAGACGAAATCAAGATAATGGTAAAGGGCAATTTCAATAGTATCAGCTCCTAGCAAAGGCAAACGACATAAAGAAAAATGAGGATTAATATATTTCTATTGAAAAAAATTTGTTGCAGAGTGTAAAAAAAAAAAAAATACAAGAGAGGATAATTACTAGTTTGAAGTTGGAATTTGTGGAATGAAATGTGGAATCTTGTTTAAATAAAGAGAGCGACAATGAATAGGAACAGAGAAGAATAAGATGGAGTTTAATGGTCTTGAAAAAATTCTTATCAGAAAAGATTTACCTCGTATGTCACCACTGACGTCGTGAAAAATAAACATCTGGGATGTGATCAATCTTTGGCCAATTTGTATAATGTAACTCATCGCTGTCTGATGTAATTTCGAGTTTTTGTAATGCAGTGAGACAACGCATCTCATCCGGCAGTGATGTCAATTTGTAGCAGTCGTAAATTTTAAGTCGTTCAAGTAATGTGAGGTTGCCTATCCACTCCGGTAAAGCCATCAAATTGTCACACGATTTAATCTCTAGAGTTTGAAGAGTGGTAAGATGTTGAAGCCCCACAGGAAGAGATACCAACTTTTGAAAACTTGAGATTTTCAGAAAGATTAGGTTCCAATTTTGGCCTTGAAGAAATTGCATGTCATCATCGTCATCTAGATCCTCAATTTGAGACAAAGTCAGAGACTTTAAATTGGAAAGAGGGAGAAGTGAAGAAGATGAAGAGGTTGCGATATCTGTTGTCATAGAGATTGTTGGGGCTGGGGACACCAATGTCATCATTAACAGCTGTTGTACTAGCTTCTTGCTGACGTTTCTGAGTTGTAGTTGTTCAAGACATGGTTGCAGAATAGGCATTGATGCCAGATTAGGGCAATCTCTGATCTTTAATTTGGAAAGAGAAGGAAAGGATGAGAGACAATAATGCTTTTGTTGATGCTGCTGTTGCTGTTGGTCCATTATAGTTGCTTTTGCCTCTTCTTCTTCTACTGCTTCCCTACTCCACCATCCCTTCAATTTAGGCAATCCCCAGAGTGTGAGTTCTTTTAGGGATGGGAAGAATTTGGGTGTTGGTTCTGATCTTCTTGCTATTGCTGCTGCTCCTCCACCGGATGAAGAGACAGACTCCTCACTCCCACTACTCCTGTTATCTATGTGCTCCACATGATCCATATGCCAAAGACTCAAAATTTGGAGAAAAGGAAGTTGCCCAAATAGTGGAAGACGTTTGCTTTGACATCTTCCTAAATCAATTATAACTAGATTTGGGAGGGATGATAATAAGCCATTTGTGTCAACTCTCATCCAACTTGGAAAACTCACTCCCCGTTTATAATATATTGTCAGCTCCTTCAGATTTGGATGTGGACGGAGGGATTCCAACAATAACTCCTCATCCTCACCACTAATCATCGTAAAATCGAATATCAGCGTCTTAAGGTATTTTTTGGCCTCCAAGTACTTTGTTCCCTTCATTCTTGAGTCCATGCCTCCACGTATTTCAATAGATAAACTTCCCCCCAGATTATTTAGGTTTTGCAATGCACTCAACCCCATGAGCCAGGATTCGCTCCTATTGAAGTCTGCTACAAACTTTGTTAATGTCGACAGAGATGTCAATTGTTCCAATCCACACGGCATGCCAATCAAGGCATCACATCTCTCAAGCTCAAGATGCCTAAGGCTGACCAATTTGCTAATACCTTTTGGCAATTCTTCAAGATGGTTGCATTTATTGAGTTTCAGAGTCTGCAAATTTTGTAACTTGATAATCGTACTTGGCAGAGTCTTGATATAAGAATTACCACTAAGATCAAGATACCTTAAATGTTTTACCTTGCTTATGTCACGCGGGAGAGTCTTAATATTCAAATTGGACATGTTAAGCACACGCAAACATTTAAAAGTCGAAACAATTTGACAAATTTTTTCATAAATCATTCCATGTGAATATGGACACTCCAAAGTAAATGTTCTTAACTTCTTAGCTCTGATCAAGGGGGTTGGAATTTTCCATAATGAATTTACATAGAAATCAAATGATACATGACGAGTTCTTTTGGTAACATTTTCTACATTCAAATTCACAATGGAACTCTTGGGCCTTGCAACTGATTGTGCAAGATCATGGACAAGATCATGCATTTTGCAACTTATAATAACACCCCATTTATTTATTTCAACATCTTGAAAAAGGGACCTCCTCAATAAATTCATAAAATACATATCACCTACATCTTCCAATTGTTGATTTTCATACGTCGACTGAATGAATCCATTTGCAATCCAAAAATGGATTAATTCTTGCTTATCAATCTTTTGATCTTTCAAATATAAGGAACAAAAAGCAAAGCATCCCTTTAAATTCGAAGGAAGGTAATCGTAACTTAACTTCAGTATTGGCAAAATAACATCCTCTACCTCAGCTATTTTTGCCAAATCATTATTTTTGAAAAGCAACCATTCAGCATCTGTATCTTTGAAGTATAGTAGGCTTCCTATACCTATTATGGCAAGAGGTACTCCCTTACACTTCTGAACAATTTCCTCCCCCATTGTTACTCGACATGGATTCTTTGACTCTTCCCCTTGTTTGAATGCCATTTTGTTAAATAAAGACGATGACTCTTCCTTTGACAAGCCTTTTAAAATATATGTTGAATTTGCCCTCGTAACTTTTGCAACTAATTCAGTACGGGTTGTTATTAAAATCTTACTTCCTCTAGAACCACCCTTCAACAAATTTATCAGCTTTAACCAATTGTGAGGATCCTCATTCCACACATCGTCCAACACTAGTAAATATTTTTTTCCATCAACTTTTGCCCTCGTGAGATTTTGCAATTCGTCCAACCCAAGGTCTTTCTGTGCTTCAGAACCTATGACTTTTTGCACAATGAGTTTCACATCAAAGGGGTCAGAAACACACACCCACTTCTTAAGTTCAAAATATTTAGTGACCTCTTCATCATTGTATACAAACTGTGCAAGTGTGGTTTTTCCTAGTCCCCCGATCCCAACAATTGCAACAACGGACACATTGTCGTGAACATTACTGTCTAATAGCAGTTCTACAATTTTGGTTTTATCAACATCCCTCCCAATAACACTTTCTGCACGAACAAAAGAGTGAGACTCCTCCCTCTTAAGATTCTGTACAGGCTGTTCAATGAGGTGAAATTTTTTCTTCTCTTCTGCAATTGCATCTAGTCTCTTGTTAATGGCCTTAATCTCATGACCCATCTTACTACTAAAAGCAAGTTGGTTTGAGCTTGAGAAGAAATTGCGTACCTTCTTTAGCTTTTTGTCCTGAGTCATAACTTGGCACCGAAGAACTTCAGTGGAGAAGTCATCGAGCAGGTCATCAGCATCATAAAACGCATCGTAGAGCTTCTCGAGCCAGTCTTCTACCTCAGGATTTGTGGCTCGCTGCTCCTCGGCATGGACAAGTACTGCTCTAATTGTGGAAACAGTGTTTTTAAGTTTGTCAAGTTCATCCCTAACACCAGAAACAAGTCTGAACTCTTGGAGAGCCATGGAACCCAACTTCTTCAAGAGCTCAGTCACAGTCTCGTAAAGAATTGTTTCAGCCATTGATTCTTGATGAGACGAGATAGATGGTTTACAAATTCTTTGTGGAGCTGTTTTTGGGTAGGTTTTGTTTTGCGGAGCTGTTGTAGAATCCTGTCCAATGTTTTATAATCGAATAATGGAAAGAAAGGAGAGAAATGGTCATTTACACCTATCTTTTTAGAAAGAAAAAAAAAATGAAGACCGACATGTAGATATATAAAATAAAAAAATAAAAAAATGCAGACTGACTTGTACAATTCACAAGGAGAGAATTGGCTGACAGCACCTCTCCGAACTACGCGCTCTCTCAATTGAGAGATGATATCTAACACTTCCAAACTAATTTAGTGTGTGTTTTTAATACTACTCCATCTATTCCTTTTTCACTTTTTACGCGAAACGTAATTATTACATTATTCTCTTTAAAAACTATAAAATTATCCTTTTGAGTTTAAATATATATATAATCAAATTTGAATTTTTTAAAAATTTTAAAAGTATTTTATGAAAAAATTTGAAATATTGAGTATGTTATTTAAACTTGATAAGTAGACAAGCTACAACAAAAAAAGATAGATAGACAATTAAATTGGGACGGAGGGAGATATACTTATGGAGTTATGACAAACGCAATAAATACACAAGTTGTACCAAGAATCACAACAGCAAAGTAAACACGTCATACAAAAAACACAAAAATTTATACTAGTTCAGTAATAACTTACGTTCACAATTGGGATTCGGTGAAAGTTTTCAATATGTGTAAAATTAGATATTACAAGTTTTTAGCTCTTTCACTTTATTTCTATACGAATTAGAGTCTTTTTCTTACACAACTCCAAACCCTAAGGGGTGCAAGACACTAATTAGGGTCCACGGTGCATGAGCAAAAAACGGATCAAAAATTTTGGTGGGCTTGAGCCCACATAAAGTTCATCCAACAGATCATCAACTGATGACAAGGCAACCTGACGACAAATTTGGGCTACAACATCACACTTATATTTTTACAAAGCTCATGTAACCAAACAATTCATAAAAGAAAATAGGTGTGTTTTCATGTATGATAAATAAACATATACTAGTATTCTCTAGATGCTAACCAATGCACTACCAACCAATGACAAGAAAAGCTCAATGTTTTTATAATCACAAGGAGAGAATTTGTTGGCCAAACCATTTGCACCTAACCAAAAAATTCATAAAAGAAAATTGGCCGGCAGAACAGTACAATCCACATAAAGTTTTTTCTCCCGGTTGAGTTGAGAAATGACATTTAACACTTGAAACTAATTAGGTGAGTGTTTGACTATTAATTAATTTTCAGATCTAGTTATGAAGCTCACTAGAACTTGCCGAAACCAATTATATTTATTAATGTGAACACAATACATTGTGTTTTGTGTCTCAGATTTCAATATGTATACTTTCCTATAAATAAATTTAAAAGTTTCTCCAAATGACTTTTGGGTAAGGCGTGAGTTGTGCTTCTCGTGCACTAAAGTCTTTATAATATGTAAACTTTCCAAGCTAGCTTCAACTTTGATGACTTGACTAGGTCAGTCAACTTATGGTATGAAATAAAAATGATTCATTTAAGAAGAAAAAAATCCCAAGTCATATTGATGCATTTTCTCTGAAATTTCCTGAAACCTTGAATCGATTTCCTCAAGTTTTCGGGTATATGAAATTTTAGTCCCTACTCATCAAAATAGGGTTTTTTTATGTATCCGTCTCGCATTCTCTCGCATTACACAAGTGAACTCAAGCTACATTGTCTATTTAACCAAGGTTTGAGTCAAATCAGGTATTGAATTAGTAAAAAAGCAAGCTACATTGTCTCATTTGTTTGGAACCATCAAACCCAATTTCTTCAAAATTTCAATCATGCTATGTTTTGGAATATCAAATTGACGAACTGAATTTAAATTGAAGAAAATTTACTCAAAAACTTTGAACTAAATTTGTTGACACTTTCTTAATGAGATAGGTGATTCTTTAAAAGTTAAATCAAATTCAATGTTTTGCCATCCGGTGATTGAAGAAAAAGAAAGAAAAAAAAATCCTCGAAGAAAAAGAAAATTGGCTGACAGAACCAGGTGGGCCTCTCCAAAGAGAATTGAAATAGGAGAAGAGAAATAATAATTTAAGGAAGTTGAATTAATATGTTAGTTGATGGTGTAGAGGTGCTTTCAATGTTATATCAAGTCTTTGTATTTATAGGCCTCCAATACCCGACCAGGATCCTTTCCATTTGGACAGCAATTCATTTTCTCTATTTTTGTGAGTGAAAAGGGCATTTTAATATTTTCGTAAAATATATCCCAACATTTTCTTACAATGCATTTCAAACATGACTGACGTGACAATTTCTGATACACTATTTTATTTCACTTGAGGTGATTCTCCACCCTCCGATACCATGTGTAGATGTCCCACTTCTCCTTGAAGTTAATTATAAGTCCATGATTTGTTTGCTTACTAACAGCTCTGTTGTTTACATGCCATGTGTCCAATGATCCAACCCATGTTCCATAACCTGTGAGCCCACTTCTCAGAGAGTAGGCCTTGTCTAAACCTACAAGCCCAATATCTAAAGAATATGCCTTGTCCACAAACTTCATTCTGCAATGGCCACATGTCCATTTTCACTTTCCTTTTTCTCGCATTCACTCAACTTTCCATTTTATTGTTGTGGTTAAAATAATAATAATTTATTATATTTACTGGGCCCATTGCAGATAGTCTAAGAAGTGTACGCCTTACACCACATGCATGCAATAGACTGTTTCTTGTCTTGAACACGTGAGTCACAAATGAACACGAAATTACATATAATATATGTATTTACACACACACATATATTATTATTACAAATATAATGTGATATTAATTTGTGCAATCATAAAATGTTCCAACTTTAAAGCACTCAGAAAGTGAATCTGAGAGTGGTTATTTTGCACAAATATAGTTAAATTTTATGTGTGTCTGTGATGAAAGATCCTTGATTTCTAATCTGAAACTCCAAACAACATCTAAATTCAATCAATGCCTGCCTTCCTCAATTGTTCATCTTCTCCTTCGGAACTACCTAACAAGCCTAAGATGAAGATGGTACTTCAACATTAATTCTTTGAGTTACTTTTGAGAGCTAGTGACACGTCACGTTCACTGGTATTGAAATCCCATCACTGCAAGTGCATTCAACTTGTTAAAACGGTCTAGCGACTTAAAAGGTTTCTTGTAATTGACACCATCATCCCGAGTCTCAGCACTCCCTTACGTGTCATATACAAAACAGTAAAGAGGAAATACAGCTTCTTCCCATCCCATGCACCGATTGTGACAGAATAACAAAGAAGCAACACCATAATATGAAAAATATTACCTTGATGGCCCTGCCATGAGATTTCAGTTGTGACAAAGGTTGAATGAAATTGAAATTGCAGATGCCTGCTAAAGAGGAAACACAGCTTCTTCCCATGCACCGATTGTGACAGAATAACAAAGGATGCTTCTTTCCGTGCACCAGTTTTGATCGAATTAGCAGGCATCTGCAATTTCAATTTCATTCAACCTTTGTCACAACTGAAATCTCATGGCAGGGCCATCAAGGTAATATTTTTCATATTATGGTGTTGGCCTAACAAGTCATGCAGCATTCTCTGTTTTCGCAAGAAAGGTGGCAGGGTATTGAAAGGAATTAGGGTAGCATTAATCAAGTGAGTTTCATCGTTCAGTAATTTATTTCAAAAACTGTCCATAGATTGCATGGGCACAAAATAAGGGAACTTGAATGCAAATGCTAACGACCTGATTAGCGGAACACCATGTGAATGAGCATTAAAATTATCAAATGACAGTAAAAATATGAAGTAAAATCGAGAGTTTAATGTACTGTGAAAAAAAGAATCAAGGAAAAGTTGCTGGGAGCATACCTATGAAGATTCCGGGGCACAAAACAGTATTCCCGTTCTTGAGTCACCCTCAACATACTAGCGCTTGGATGTACTTCTCTAGCCTTTGTCTTGTGGGCTGGAAAAAAATATTACCATGCACCCCCCACTAACTAAATAATTAGTTGTAAAGCACACTTCAAACCAATCTCTTCACGGTAAAGTGTCTTACAGGTAAACTGATGATCCTTGGCTTGTTTACTATTGCCATAATAATAGCTCGTCTCCTCCACCACTAAACATGTTCACTGATTATATTCCTTCTGTGGATTGAATATCCCTGCAAAGAAGCCAATGCTTCCTTCCTGCTACATGGGAAGAAAGAAACTAGGTCTTAATTAATATCTAATACAGGCAGAAAAATGTAACATACAATGTACCTATAGGCTATAGTGACCTGAATCAGGTCTTGCGACCTTAATCCTTTCCTTGATCACGAGTACCAATAGAGTGGCCAGTACGTAACTGCATAAGATTATTTCTCCAGACTCATGCTCACAGGTTTCCATAATTGTCCTTTTGGTTGCTTCTACCATGTTTCTTCGTGTAAATGTGCAGATCTTCATATCAATATGAAAGAAGGTCTTAATCTGGAAAAAAGAAGGAAAAAAAAAAAAAAAGAGCAAAGAAATTTCTAGCAAGCAAAGGGAAAATGCCACATTAAAGATCCACATGATTTGTGATCAGAGTTCAGATGATCAAATCAGTTTGCATAGCTCAATGAGCTATATAAAAGATCAGGGGCATTTCTGGGATATACAGAAATGGCCAAAAAATATAGGTCAGAAGCTAACTACCTGAATCTTTTGCCTTGATCATGAGTAGCAAAATAGACAATAATTCTCCAGTAACTGCGTAAAATCCTTTCTCCTGACTCTCCTCCATTGCAAAAAAATCTTATCTAGACTACTAACATTCGTCCCTACAGCCTTGGCTAATTGCTTTGAGGCTGGCTCATTCTCACTGGTTTTCACAATCGTCCTTTTTTTTTTTTTTTTCCCTAGTTGAGACTCACACACACTGCTTCCACTGAAGTTCGAACCCCTAACCTACCTTTGAGAAGTAGGAGCTTTATACCGCTAGGCCACAAGCCTATTGGTATAATCGTCCTTTTAGCAGCTTCCACCATGTTTCTTCCTGTAAATTTGCAGAACTCCATATCAATATGGAAGAAGGGTTTTAATCTGAAAAGGAAAATGAAAAAAAAAAAAAACAAATAAACGAACAACGAACTTCATATCAATATGAAAGAAGGGTCACAATCTGAAAAAGAAAAAGATAAAAAATCAAAAGTTTCTAGCAAGCAAGGTGAAAATCCTGTTTGTGATCAAA